GGGTACTACTCATGGCAGTAATTTGCAGCTTGTTTACGAAATGCAGAGGCCGAGACTTACATAACTAACACAGAGTTTGTTCTATTTGCAAAAAACTCCACAGTTAAAATATTGATGCAGTGAGTTCATTTTTGATATCATCATTTTTTGATCGGGTGATAATAGTATACAGGTACTATAGAGTTTGCAGAGAGGAATTAATCCTACTTTTGAAAAGACTCCTAAATCAATATTGATCGGTTTGCAGCTATGGCTTCTGTACAACGGTCATTCGAAAAAGTGTTATTAATAATTAATTCCTTTTTCCTGTCTAGTGCTCGAGATTTAAAATATACCGTTTATTTCAGTCTCGCCGAGAGCGTAGAGTTTTACGGTAAATGTCACAATCTTACTGCAGCGGGATGAGTCGGGCTTGTAATTTTGTGTTCACAAGAAAGGCACTTTGACTTTTCGAAATTCTCATCAGCCGTAATTATTTGAAAATTGAACGACTTTTCAAGTATAGGGGACAGTGCGCACCATATAGAGGAGTACAAAGAGAAAAGAATTACGCCCCAGGGAACCATTAGGTTGTTTGGTGAACAATAATTAAACCTTTAATCCCTACCAGGCGTCATGCTCGGTTGTGAGCTTTGGATATTAAGATCTCCGGTGTACTCTCCACGTAAGTATAAGGTATTTTCATATTACAATAAAGGATATAACATTGTTTTCTTTTCCCGCAGGTATTGGGTGTATATGTTCGCAAGTCAAGAAATTTTTGTCAAGTTGATCAATTTCTGCATGTGGAAGAGGCGTGTGCATCCATAAAGTAAAATTTAAAAGAAACCCTTTTTGCCTTTTCAGCGAATTCTGCTGTCCAATAATTTAAAAAAATGAGTGACGAAATATTAAGAAAAATTACGAAGAATATTGTTTTGAGAAATAGTGAAAAAATTGCACACCTCGATTTCAAAAACGTCAAAAATTTGATGAGTGAAATAACAATACTGATGTACCAAATTAAATACAGGACTTGTCACTCTTTGGGCTAGGATCACAATGAGCTACCCTTTTAATATAAAAGAAAACTTGGCCAGTTTTTTAGTTTTTTTTCTCTGTAAAATCTCGATAGCTGTGCACGTTTACCAAAAACATGTACTTTCTTTCTGATAAATTAATACTTGAATACAGCCTATGCATAAACCTCTGAGTTTTAAATGCGTTTTTTTAACCAAAAGAATAGCGTGTTTATCATAATATTATTCTGTGATCTCATTAGGTGGGGGGAAGATGTTTTAAACAGAATCTCATGTTGCAAATTATCTGCCATTTCAGTTAATGGTTGTGTTTCTAGCTCAAATATCGTCTCTTATTTTTGGTAATGGTGACAGATTAGACAAAAAATCGTGGTTGAAAAGTAGAGATTTTAAGGCGTGGTGTATATCTGGCGAGAACAAACCAGAGTCAAGTGAGACCGTGCTGAACTGTTTTCATCACATGTAAATACTAGGCCACAGGAAACTCAAGGGAATTATATCTTACTTAACATGAAAATGGCAACCGAGCAATCCAAAGTTGTATGCATTTGAGTTTTTAACTATTCAAGAGAGCCATGGTTTTGTCTTTTTGTTGTGTATTTGGACCCCCCCCCCTCTTCCCCCAGCTCCTTCTCTCCCCCCCCCCCCTTTACTTCTTTCCTTGTTTCAAACACTGATAATTATGAGGCTAAGCAAGACGTCTTTCTTCTTCATTTTTTTCATCAAATAATAGTGATAAATGTGAATCAAATTTAAAAGTAACATTTATTGTGATATTATTTTTTCAAATTTACACATAAAGATATACAATATCGGGTAAATTATTACGGAGCAAACTGGCTAACATCAACTCAATCTGTGGAACAGAGTGTCAAAAGTGACCCGTCACTGTTTTTCCTTTCTCTGTTCTTTACTTAACGATCTTGTCAGAGAATATATTTGTAATTTGATGCTGAGCTAGTGGGATGCAAAGTCAAAACGAGACTTGAATGATCGATTTTTTAACCTTTTTACAATCAGTTTCTGGTGTCATTGTAGTCGCTGCCACTGTTATTAATGTTGCCTTTCGAATTTTTTTCTCTTTAGTCCACTGGCCGTAAACATGAACTTTCGAGTTTTCTCTATTACACTCAATTGAAAATAGTTCACTTAGTAGAGAGTTATTTATGCATAGTTGGAGACTTTTTCGTTCAATAATGAGATTAATTTTGCAATTCCCGTCTGTTGATACAGTTCAAAAAGCCTAGGCTGACATAAGACCCAGCCGGTGCCACTTCCATTTGTGAAGACCACCTAAGATTTTTTGATACTCTATTATGTCTTTGAGGGTGTCGGTAAACTTGCCTCAGTCTGCTTTGCCTCGTGGGAAATTAGATTTTGAAGCTCTTCCCATTTTTTTTTTTCAATGATTAAGAAGTTTATTGCCTTTCTGTCGTCGACTGACCTGCGCCCAAATATATTATAACTACGGTAAATAGTTATCCGGGAAGAGGAAAAATCAAACAAACAAAAACAACAACAAAAACCAAAACACGCAAAAAAACAAAAAACAAAGTACACAAACAAACATAACCCTCAAAACGATGAGTTTGAGAGCTTAACCAAGGCTGTCATTCGAATAAAGATTCTAATTACATAGAATAGATATCTGTTTGTCTACAATCTATTTGTCTTTACTTTGTGATCAACACCTTTGTCCTTGTTGATATTACGTGTATGTTTTTCCTATTCGCAACTATATGCGCCTAACTTGATGACATAATTGAACACTTCGTCAACAGTTTGAAAATCTGACAGAAGTGTCAATGATCATGATAACAGTGAAGCACGTCACATGCTGAATCCCTGATGTACATGTACCTACGGATCGATTTATATATCCTGTTATTAAATTCATTTTGCTTCAATTCAGTATGTAATTGCTAATAATGTTTAAGATCGAGACGGCAGGTTAACTACGTCCTATGTTAAAAACCTTATACACATGTACCTACGAAGCGATTTATGATTCCTATTACTGCGCAATGCAAATTTGCTTCATATTCAGTCTACCACAGAAGCGAGAGACTCAACTAGATGGATGATGAAGTTTGTTGATGAAGTAGGATCCACAGTTTTAAACAGAAATCTTTATTGAATATTTGCTGAGCGAAGTCTTAGTGGACGATTACTAAAGCAGACCGTTCTGTGAACTTTATCATCTCCCAATGTAGATGAGCATCATCCAGCTAGCCTGACCAGGTGGAGTTGTTTCATCTCAACTGAATCGTGTGACATAAAGACAAGTCAATCATTACACTCAACAAACTGGTCACTCATATAAAACTCGTATACTCAGTACTGATTAATATATAAGCTTTATTGATAAAGCTTGAGGTGAAGATGGCCGGATGTTGGCCGAGTTCCGTTTTTCCGGCTAAGTAAGTTCCTTTATGCAGCTGGGCGTGGTTGTTAATAAAAAATTTTTTGGCAGTATCGTAATGATCAAATACACAGCGATGCCCATATTTTTACACGACTCAGAAAACTGAGCCACCCGTTTCTTATTAACATTGATGTTGTTTTACTTCAAGTTTCGTCTCGGAAATTGGATGGCAAATTAAAGAACATTAAAAAAAAAACTTATAGTAGGGTTAGAATATTATGTCCAGCATAACAGGGGGTTGGTCCGCCAAATTAAATGGAGACTAATGCATAGGCGCGCGTAGATATGGAGTTTCTCTTCGAGTGTTTAATTTGATAACTCACAAATGAGCGCAGCGAACGAGTGAGATGTTAAGTTGAACACGAAAAGGGAAATTCCCTACCTACAAGCAACCATGAATTATTTTGCTTACCATATAAACACAATAGCCCTTTACTGACAAGAAAAGCCGACTTCATCAATGAACGAAAATGAATGAATCGACAATCCCCGAATAACAATCGTAGAGTGCGTTGGCGCGAACTCTCAAGATGAAAAAATTCGTTGCATCATGATTACAAAAACTTCAATGGTCGTAATTTTCAATTTACAAAATTCTCATTTATTGACTCTGTCTTTACCGACAGATGAAGGCTTTCAGGTAGATGGCCAAAATCGGTTAGTGGAAAATCTTCCAGTTGCCTATCCTCATTCTAAGCCGAGAGAAATGCTAACACCAAAGCCACTGAATACGTAACTTTCGGTTTTTCCTTTAGTATATTGGTTTTCCTCCCCGTCTAGGAAAGTTTGAACCTCATTGTCTGTCAATGAGGTTCAAACACATGAGTGTTTAGCCGCCATAATTCGAGAAAGTTCCGACAAACATCTTGTATTGAGAGTCTTGAGAGCTTTGCCGTTCATTCATCAACCTGGCCGAGTGGCGCCAAAGGCGAGTGACATGTCAGTAGCTGACTGCTTTTATCAACACACGTAAAAAAATACTATATCTTTTTACGTATGTTGTCACGGCTTTTCTCAGGGCCGGAAATCCCTGTATAACACCGCAGTTTCTGTGATAAAAGTTTTTAATTCACCCTTGATAGAGCGATTTAAAATCTGATAATAACAATAATAATAATGTTTGTAATAACGAGTGGACAACTTTAATTGCCTCTCGGTACCAACACCTACAGATCGATTTAAAAAACTCAATTTTCAATTTTTTTTTGCTTCATAATATTCAGTCTGTACCACAGTAGCGTGAGTCACAACTAGGTGCAGGACGAAGTTTGTAGATGAAGTAGGATCCACTGAGTATTAATGCACAACGCATTCGGATGGCAGTTGTACATTTTAACGGCATGAGCCTCACTGCATTCGTCAATGTCTAAAAGAGAACATACTCAGTAATATATGTATACGATAGAAATGTATAAATATAGAATATATAAGCACAGCTTACTTGTGGAAAATGATTCTGTTTGATGCTAGACCTTATCTAACTAGGCGTGAAAATGGAAGGCCTATTTGCTTTGTCGGAAAGAAGTAAGAGTCGGAAATGTGCTAAAGTTTGTATGCTAATCTAATGATGTACCTTGGCATGACTTTCCGTTCCCAGTATATCCTTCCTTGCAGGTACAAAAGTTAGAACCTTTGGTGTTGGTGCAGTTTGCATTCTTATCACAAGCATGGTCTCCATTGCTGCATTCATCGACATCTAGAAGGTTATGTGATGTGAAAACGTGCAATTAAACAGAGAGAAAAAAATAAGCAGAAAGAAGATAAATCGGGCTCAAACTTAATTTTCACTTAACTAGAATCTTTGTTGCAGTCGTATCTTCCTCTCAGTAAATACCGTGCATGTAGGAAAAAGTTGCTTCACAACAATTTCTACTTTCATGAACAATTTGATGCTTCAAATGCTTAAGCTGTTCTTCACGCTTGATCCTCATCTATCATTCCTTACAATTGAAGTTGCACGAGGAACAGAATTTGAGATGCGTGACGAAAGTGCTCTTGTGAAAATAGTTATCGGAAAAGGTGTATTCTTATGAAGTGTTCAACTAGTTTTTGAAGTTTAAAGAATTGGAAATCCGAGCTAAAATGTTCTCTTGAGGTTCGATTTCCAGTAAATAAAGCAACAAAACCCAAAACTTCAACATCAAAGTCCGACCTCTCGATTTTTTCGCGCATCAACCTATTATTTCGACATTAAAAGACACCAAAAGAAACGTACGAGTTAAAAAAAAAATACATTCAAAGATGTTAATAAAAGTTACAACATGTACCTTGGCAACGTCTTCCATCCCCAGCGTAGCCTTTCTTTAAGGTGCAGTTGTAAGAGCCACCAGTTTTAGTACAGTTTGCATTCACATCACACACATGGCTTCCATTGCTGCATTCATCGATATCTGAAGTGATGAATGAGAGGTAACTTTGTCTGGCAATCATTCAATTCATTATTGAACATGTTCTCAGTTACTCATGTAGTTATTAATATAGTTATTAATGCTCCTTGACATGATTGCCCATCCCCAATGTATCCATCCGTACAGGTGCAGTTATGAGAACCATTGGTGTTTGTGCACTTTGCATTCACATCGCAAACATGGATTTTATCGCTGCATTCATCGACATCTGTAAACAAAAGTGTTCGCAATGATCATGATCAAAGTGATGATCACGAGGATGATGTTGGTTGATGATGGATAATTGTTGGCAATGACGTTGACGATGACTTGTTTTGGTTTATTTTATTTTTGTCTGACAGTCAAAAATATCTGCATAACATAGTGTAATAATTGTTTTCTTTTGCCTCTAATACAAGCGCTTGACATAACCTTAATGTAATGCTGCATTCATCAATTACGTCAATACTATAAATTCTGCTTTATTGCTGCACTCGAAATTATGAGAAGACCTCGCATAGGAGTGAGCTAACACAGTCAATGGAAAAACAAATTCTTGGTCATCTTGGATGATGAAAATTAAGTATACCTGAACATGAGTGTCCATCGCCAGCGTATCCCGCTTTACAAGTGCATTTGTAAGAACCGTACGTGTTAGTGCAGTTTGCATGCAAGTCGCAGTCACTGATGTTATACTGACATTCATCCATATCTAGAAATTAGAATGGAGGCAGTGGCTTATATAAAACAAGGTTAGAAGGGTTTCCACACTAAAAAAATGATGCTAACCAAACAAATAATAGTGATAAAACTAAAAATAATTTTCTTATAATTTTGTGGTAAAAATAAGTTAATACGTAAAGAAAATTGTAAGACCTACCCCCGCAAGCCATGTCACAGTTAGTCAATATTGCCTTCCCGACGCCTGTTGGATCCAGGCAATACTTGCCGCGGATGGTGTTTTTACCTTCACTCGCCTTTATTTCGAGACAGGATATCGCCGGTAATTTAGAAATAGAACTTACAGGGGCTGCAGTAAAAATATGAGTTTTGTTTTCTTTTTTTACTATTTCGTAATCACAGGTGAGAGAAAACAAGGTTGGCTAAATGTGGAGAAAATCTAGAGAAACAAAAATCCACTCCTGATTTCTTACCTCTGCCGTTCAATCGTCTGATGTAAAACCACGCGGGCGCTGAAAGGAAATTCTCGGGTCTTGCCTCCTTGGTACGGTTATTTAGTTCACATCTTTGGTATTTTCTGTTGTAGTTATAGCTTTGGCACGTGATCTCTTGTCCACATTTGACATCACAAAGATGAGGAGCCGCCACTGACCATCTTTTTTGAGAGCCACTCCTTGTATGTTTACTTCTGTCCTGCATTGATCATTAGCTGTGACAAATTCCATGGTAGAAGCGAGAAAAAGAAATCTTAAATTTCGGAATAGCCAATACATACGTGCTTGTATTGAACCTGAAAATAAAGAGGATAGGACCCCACAGGAAAATTTTATAATTATATTCTTGCCTGACGACAGTCTACCTTGAAAAGGAAAAAAACTGTTTGCGAACCAGATGCATACATGATAATCAAAATGCATTCAAATTTTGATTTGTTGCCTGAAAATTCTCCAAAACAACCCATAGTTTATATTGTGAGTCACACTTTACATGATACTCGATAAGGTGCCGATTTCTATGTCAAGGAAGAATATCAAGCACGCTTTTAAGCTGCATTAGATTATCTGAGTTTTGCAAGCTGTTTTCAGATTTTGTGAGATGATAATTTTTTTTTTCTCAGAGGGCACGATAATACATCCTGTGATATGATTGGTTCTTAGCACGGTCTATATTTTCCCATGAGCCGATAAATGACTTAGCGTCCTTAGTGTCCTTAAAAGTGTCCTTAAATTGGTTGACAAGTAGCCTAAAACAAACGAACAAACTCTCACAACTTCATAATAGCTTCAAAAAATTGAATTTACTTACAGTTACTTTCCTAGCCATCTACTTACTAATTGTCGATGAGCTTTAATAATAATTTCCGTAAGATCATTTACTGCTTTTGAAGGAAACATTGTCGTGACAGCCCTGTCCGAACTAGTTCCGTTATTTTTTTAAAAATTGTACTCCCTTTTTTTTTTTTTTTCTTACGCGCTCTCTAGTTGACAGATGTCAGATTGTGACAGATACTTCTAAAAATAATGTTTCAAAGTTTGTGAAAGCCATTTAAATCTCACCTTTATCATTGCGCAAACAAAAATGTCTCGGTGAAGCCTCTCTCTTTACTTTGCATTTCCTCTATTTTAACTACCACCCAAAATTTGTTCAGTTTATGGAAGATATTGCATTCATTACAGCCCTAAATCATTCGGGTTCTTTTGGAGAGAATTTCGTTATGTTTAAGGAAAAAAAGTAAAAATGTTATTCACCCGCCTAAGTCGGTTCGTATTGGGAAAACCTGTGCCCGAAGCCTTGAGTCCGATATGGACCTCTAAGCTCGCGAATATCACATATTTACTACTTAAAGGAATTCCTCGTCCGATTCGCGGAATCATTTCCTGTAACGGGGCGGACGCTGACATTAGTCGATTCTCATTACACCGCGTCGGAGGAATGTTTTATATCCAGGAAACCTCCAAGCGCCTATCAATCTCAAGATATTTATTACATTTGAAAGCTCGTAAAAACTAAAATACAATGAGCAAAATTAAAGTTATTACCATACGATATGAGCTAATCGAAATGTCCCAGACTCGAGCACGCGGGGCGTGCACACAGATGGATCTAAAAAACACACTTATCCTAATGGAAACAAAACTGCATTTGATTGCACACGTTTTGGTATGTAAAAGAAAATATAAACTAGAGAACACACGTCTTTATCCGTTCTATTACTCTAGTATTTCGACTCTCTCTTAACGTAAAACGCGGCAAACCTCTTTACATGATTTCCGTACCGTTTGCAGAATCGTTTAAAGTTGTTATTTAAAGGTAAAAAGTTGTCTTTTCAATTATTTGTTTGGATGTAATTCTTTTTAGTTTCATTTTCGCTCTTAAGTTCCATTCGAGAAAGCAAAGATAATAAGGTTGGAATCTCATTCATAAACGCAACTGACTTTTTCTTTCCCAGTCGGATGCGGTCTCATTCCTTTATCAGTTTAGAGTTGCGTCCTGAAAGAGGAATAAAAAACCTTTGAAATGATTTTTTTATTAATATTTTTCATTTTGCAGCTACATGTATGTGCTAAGCTGTGATAAACAATTTAGGGCGCGTTGGTAAAAGATGAGAGCTGGCTCATTTGAAGTCCTCCATAAAATGTATTGCACCATATGTTTGGGAGTAAACGCTTGGAATTTTTATATTTAATGTATCAATACATGGAGAAGCACATTGAATTATCTTTGTATTATCATAGAGAACAATAGAATTTCATTTACTCATTTATTTTTTTATCAGTTCAGAGAAAATTGCCCGAACCTCCTTATGAGGTTTCTATTGTAGGAAAGGCACCTCGTGAACGCAAATTACAACCGACTGAGAACACCTGTGCGGCTTGAAGATGATTAAGTCCTGAAGATTCCACTTCTCTAAGCAGAAACGAAGTGCAATCGGTCAAGCAGTTTGAACTTTATTCTCTTACTATTTAGTCAAAAAATATATTTTTTGACGGAACTCAGTTATCAACAATTGAGCGAAGAGTTGTCTCCAACTATTTATTCCAATCATTTATCCAAAGTGAACCTCATGATTCCGTCCTTGCGGAAACTTACATGAACGCTCTCAATTTTTTTTCTTGTAGTCTTAAATACTACTCCAGCCCTCTGTACATGCAGAATAAAACATTTGACACAGTTTTTTTTTTCATTCGATCTCTTTCAAGGAACTTCAAAACCTTAAAACCGCGGAGGGAAAGTTGAACCAAAGTAGAATTCGACCATCATCGTGTTAAAACAAATACACAGGTCTTCTATGGATGGAAATCAAAGGTGATATTTGGAAACTTAATCCTAAAAATTGATGGTCTGGTCTCTTTCAAAGCAGCCGTAGTTAGTTTGCCGTTAAAAATTTACCAAACCCTATTTTGGGATGTAAGCAAATTAAATTGTAGAAATTTTAGTCGCTCGTAGGCATACACTGACGACTGTAGAGTTCATTTATGTTAATGATGCTGCAAATGTGAAAAGTTTTTTTTTGTTTTTTGTTTTTTTTCATTTAACGTGTTCAACTTCTTTTTATCCTTACATTACTTACATTTATGATGTAGGTTGCTCCCAAATTATATCACTGAAGAACTTCTAGCGTGTCTTCCAACCCCTTCTTAATCACAATATGGTATGGTGTTATATAGTTTGTTTAAAATGACAGGCATGACCGATCCTAAAAGCTATTAATGACCATCATTTGAATGCAAAACTTGTATACTAATGAAGATTTGCTTTCATGTTTTTCTAGGTTGCTTGTTCCTTTTTACGCGGGGCTGCTCAATCTTTTTAACATCGTCTTAGTATGACATGCGACTGAACAATAGAAGGGAAGTTTGAAAAAAAATTTATTTAAAACTATTAAATTAAGTTAGAATTGTGAGATCCTAATAACTTCTAGTCCTAAAGAATCTTCAGTGGCGGGTCTACACCTTGAGCTAAAGGGAGGCGTGGTTTTCATCCTTCTTCCTTTCTTCTTCCTTTTTCTTTCACCCAAAATAAAAGGGGCGCCCGGGCCCCCCGGGCCCCTCCCCTAGATCCGCCAATGACCTTGTATTTCAATTTGAATTTAAGACCACGTGTAGGTGGTCTAGATGCTGAAATTTTAAACGAGCTTTCTGGGCAATCTTTGTATCTTTGTTTTGTTTTTACTGCTAAGAGCTGCAGAAATTCCAAAAATGTAATAATAGAATTGTGAAATTATTTCGAAAAAAGCGTCCGGGAAGTGGTGTTTGTCTCAGTCTAGTGACTCGAAGTTTGAAGCGTACTCATTTAAAGTCACTCTCAAGGTCCTGCTCACAATTCGAGATGTTATAGATGTTAATTCACTTGATGTCCGATAGCCTTTCCATATCCGTTCTGGTGTGCTGATTAATCGATAATTTTATGTTTGGTGAGTAACCGATTATGTTGCGTTATTTTTGAGATTATGTTGGGAAAAGTTTCAAGTTATTTATCGTTGACTTTCTTTCCAACGATTAAGGTCCATCTATTTACTAATAAGAATGATGAATGAACTTTTTGGTGGTTTGGGCCAGGTTACCTAAGTGCAAGAGTCACTGGTTTTTTTTTTATCCTTAACATTTGTGGAGATGTCAGGTGTGTTAATTTTTATAAAATGCAATGACTTCTCAGCCCAGAGTAAAGTCACTCTCATTTGACCAGTAAGGCTCAAAGTAAAGCTTAAGAAAATCGCTGGTCATAGAATGCCAACCGATTGGCAATTTACCTCTATAATAACAATAACCGTAACGTATTAAAGAAAAGGTGTGAGGTGTGCGGTGTAAAGACGTTTAAATTTATTTTTGATTTTACTACATATTGTTTATTCTGTTTTGTTGTTGTTGTTGTTAATTAGAGTAAGCCAGCTTGTGCACTCACATTCGTGGTGAACGAAAACGTTATTTACTTCCTTTTGCCGAACAGATGACATCGACAGGATAAATAATGGAATCCGGCCATGGGTAGCAAATTAATTTACATCCCTTAGCATTAACAAAGGCAAAAACTGTAAGAAATGCCTTTTTGCAAGGTTTTTTGAACTATCATTTACTTTTTAAGAATTGACAATTGAATTCTAACGATACTTGAAAGATGTTCAATATTAGGTTAATTATTTAAAAAAATTAAGTTAATTTGGTTAATTGTAAAAAAAAAATTACCTTGTTCTCGTTTCTCTGTTCCTTACACTTCGTTTTTCTTAAATAACCTTCCCCCTATTTTTTCTGATTCGTTGTGATTTAAAGTTAAAATCTGTTTTGATTGATTGATCTATTTTTACTTCACTGGGTTCTGGTTTAATGCATTTTCCCGAACATTTCCTTGTTGTTGTTGTTATTTTTCTCTCGTTATTGATATCAAGTCCACCGAAAAAAATTGTGAAAGCTACTCTTTCGCAAATGCTATCAAGCGAATTTGCTTGAAGTCTTTCACAAAACCTTTTATCAGATGAGTGGTAACGAGAACCTACTTTAGCCTATGGACTACACTGCCCTTAACATTCACTCTCGTGTTTATGTTATGAAAGTCATCTGAAAGCAGTCCGTGTTAAGTAAATGTATCTACAAAGCTATACGCAGTTTTTGTTAAATAATGAGATAACATACACGATGCCCTTCTATTTACAACACTCAAGAAGCTGAGCCACATAGTGACCCAGCTCATATCTTTGGGGGTGAGGTTGAGGGGTGGTTTTTTTTTTCCTACGCCTGTAACGTAAGATAGCGCCTCCTTGTATTCCATTGACTTACGCTAAAATAACTATAGTTAATAATCAAAGCAAAAGAAGGATAAATATATATATATATATAAAAGGCGTGAAAACCATAAGCTTGAGAGTTTGTGCTTTGCAGATTTTATATGAAGATTACTATGAAGATCCTTCGGGCAACTCTCTTCGATGACAGAGGCTATCTGATGAGAATTATCATTCTTATGAAATAAATACCTGTTTGCCACCAAGGTTAAAGCATGCTGATAATGTTTACTGTAGAGATAACGGGTTAACTACTTCACATTTTAAAAGCCTTATGCACATGCACCTGCGGTTCGATTTATGAATCCTCTTACTACACAAAGTGTATTTGCTTCATATCTAGTCTGTACCACAGTAGCGCGAGTTACAATAACTGGACTTTAGAAGTTTGTAGATGAAGTAGGATCCACAGTTTTTTACAAAAATATCTTTTAATTGTTTGCAACCAGTAATGCGATCGCTAAAGCAGACTCTTCTTCGAACTTCACCATCTTCCACTGTAGGATGAGTACCATTCAACCAGCCTGACCAGTATGTACCACATCTGAATGCTGGCACACGCGTTGTTGGCATTTTTGTTCCTGCAGCTCCCACAAAACGATACCATCCCTCAGGGAGTTGTTTGTCACACAATCCTGGAGCGTAAGGTGTTGCGTAAGTTTTCTTTCTATTGGCTTCACTCAGGTTTTGATAATGATAGCAAGGATCGGCTACGAAGTGAAATGAAATTTGCAAAAGGACTGTGAGTATTAAATGAATGGTTCAAGATCTTTTACTAATATATTATAGTTCTGGCAGCTCGCCAATCAGAGATGAAATTTGTACTCAACAAGAAAAATGACTATGCATTAATTAAGGGGTCAAGTAGTTCATGTGTAGGATAGCATCACTCCAAGAGGCTAAAACAGTGATATTAACCAAATGAATTCAGCTGGATCCAAATTTAAGCTCCTTCTTTCTCAGACAGCGCATTAAAAGACAGCTCTAGGCAGACTTAAGGCACAGCCAGTATCGTTTACATATGACAACCTAATAATATGGCCCACAGTGACCACCTCAGCAGCGTCAGGTTAGATTCGAGTAGGAATATTCTAAATATTACAGCAAAAAGATTAAATTCACCTGTGCAGTCTTGACCATTTCCATTAAATCCAGAGCGGCATTCACAAACATAGGATCCGTTGGTGTTCGTGCAGGTAGCATTCACGTGACAAGAGTGATTTCCTTTACATTCGTCAATATCTGAGAAAACACATATGTACTTTATTATTGTCACTTTAAAAATGGGCGGACTCTCAGTCGTGTAATTACTTTGATAATTATAAATAATAAAACAAAGTTTCCTTTTTTGTGTGTTTCACAAATCAGATGTTTCAAACATATATTTCATTGTGAATATTTCAACTTAACAAGCTGACAGCTCTGAAACAACTGGCTTGTTCCTGCAGCTCCCACAAAACAATACTATCTTTCGGGGGGTAATTCATCACAAAACACTGGACCAAACTACGGTGTAGCGTAACTGCTCTTTCTATTCTAGATTTTGATAATTATAACATGGGTCGGCCTATCAAAGGTAACATATTTTTGTTGAAATTTTTCTAATAAATCAGTTCGACAACAAGCAGACAGGACTTGTGTTTTAAAAGAACAACTATGCATTCAGTAAATTTTGAAGAAGGATTTGCCTTGGACAATGATGATGTACAAAGGAGCTAAAATGAAGTGATGGCACTGAAAAGAGTTGTTTCCTCTCGCTTAAATCGCCCATCAAAGCCTGAGTTCTTTGTACCTCTACTGGAACTCCCTTTTTTTTTAATTTTTTTAATATATTTTCGAATTTGTCATGGATCTGATTATCGAGAATTCCCTTTTGTTTTATTATATTTTCGCATTTGTCATGAATCTGATAAGTGAAATAGTTTGGTTTCATCAACTGAGTCGATAATGTAAATTGGCCACCGTAAAGAATTACGAAGCTGACGTTTCGAGCATCAGCTTTAAAACTATAAACGGTGGCCAATTTACGTTACCAACTCAGTTTATAATACTAAATTATTTTGTTATACTCCCCCACCGACGCAGCATCAGAGTTTCTTTAGAAACTTACCCCCTATATTCATCGCTTATTCTATCAATTTACTGGCGAGATAACCCACGCGGGATGTTGTGAGAACACAAGAAAAGTTTGTAATTCCGAGCTGGAGGTGAGTGATTTACTTTTTTTTCCGAATGGTTTCCCAACATCTGGAGACGTTTACTACGCTAGTTAACTGATAGAGAGTGCTGTCTGTTACTATAATAACATAAATTTTAATTTTCATGGATTTACAGGTGCAATTAACGATTGTTTTTTGACCAATCAGGGCACTCGTATTATCTTGACTATTTTAACTTGATGATAATAATTTTCAACTTTTTTCACTCAAATATATCCTAAGCGTCAACAAAACGTAGTGCCATGGAAAATCACTAACATATCCACTCTGTGCACAGGGTTCAGAGCCAAACGAGCGATTTCATTTTCATGCTTCTGTCAATCTTTGTGAAAAGGTTAATTTTAAGGCAGAAGCACGTATCAGTCTCCAAAATTGTTCATTTAAAAGTCAGGAACACTACCTAAGAAGTCATCAGCATTAAGTTTATTACTTCCCACCTTCGGGTGTGTCCTTCGGGAAAAATTACGTTCACTAGTTTCACTAAAATCCTAGCAAACTATATATCAGAAGAAAGCATGAAAATGTAGTTTACGCTGAAAATAGAATTTAAGCGACTTTTCTTTTACGGAAGTGTGAGGAGCCGGTAAGGCGTGAAACGACTGAAGGTTCTTCTATTGAATTTATTGGGTATGGGATACCGCAGTACGATCTAATTGGCTGCACAGTGTTATTCACAAGGTATCAATAAATAAAAGTATGTAAGCTTTTTTCGACATTCTGATTGATTTTCTAAATATCGGCACCTTTATATTGGGCTAGCTAAAAATACGCGAGTCGTGTTGCGTAAATGGTCGCCACGGGACAAATATTTCAAATATCAAAATTTACCGACACACTTTCGTTTGCCATTGTCAAAAATCGGTAAAATCCACACACCCCATAAATTCACTCAAAGTGGTTGTATTCCTCCCAAACTCAAATGCGAGATTTTGGCTCATAAGGATTCGCAAACAGCCAGGCGATTATCTCGCCTCCTAGAACCGCAGACCAATAGGACAACGGGACCTCCTAACGTCACTGACTATGGATCAAGATTTCAGAGCTAGCATCCTACAAATTATATGGCAGACAGTAAGGAGAATTACTAATGTGATTTTGGGAGTGAAAGGGCCAATACAATGGTGTCGATGTCGCCATTGTCTTCAGCACTTTACTCATCTCTTTTTTGTACAATGTATTAGTTGATTCACTACCAAATTCACAGAGCTAGCATCCTACAAATTCTATAGCAGACAGTAAGGAGAAATACTCATGTGATTTTGGGAGTGAAAGGGTCAATACAATGGTGTCGATGTCACCAATTATTCATAGTGACATTGTTATTATTCAATTGTTAATGACCGAAGTTTGGTCGAAACTTCGTGAGAAACTATTTTGCCGCTAAAATTCACTCAAGGACTCTTACTTTCTTAGTAGTGTAACAGCCCGAAATATATTATAAAAAATAGAATAAAGGTTTCTGATTTACAAAATAGAAACTGGAGATGGGGGCGCTACCCACGGGAATAAACATGGCTTACTTGTGCCAAATGATTCTGTCTGATGCTAGAGCTAATCTAACGTGGCGTGCAAATGCGGGCCTATTTTCTTTGTCGGAGAGGAGTAACGAGTGCAGTTATGAGAGCCATTAGTATTAGTGCACTTTGCATTCACATCACAAACATGGATTTTCTCGCTGCATTCATCGATATATGTAAACAAAAGTGTTCGTAATGATGATGGTCAAAGTGATGGTGACGAGATGATGGTGGATGATGATGGTAATTTTTCGGCAATGATGTTGACGATAACTTTCTTTGGTTTATTTCGTATTAATGTCACAAGTCTTTTTAGCATCGCTTCACTCAAAATAATATGTACATAACACAGTGTTAAACATGTTTCCTTTGTCTCCGATGCAAGTGCTTGTGCTTATTCCTGCATTCATTAACTACGTCAAAACTGTAAATTCTGCTTTAATCTGTAGCTGAACTCAGTATCACGAGGAAACTTCGCATAGAGGTGAGCTAAAACAGTTAATGGAGAAACACATTCATGGTCATCTTGGGTGAGGAAAATTAACTGTACCTGAACATGCGTGTCCATCGCCAGTGTATCCAGCTTTACATGTGCATTTGTAAGAACTGTACGTATTAGTGCAGTTTGCATTCGCATCGCAGTCACTGATGTTATATTTACATTCATCCATATCTAGAATTTAGAATGAAAGCAATGAATAAAGTAAAACGAAGTAAAAAGGGTATCCACGCTAAAACTGATATTAAACAAACAAATCATAGTGATAACAATAAAAATAACATTACTATAATTTTGCGGTAAAATTAAGTTAACTCGTAAAAGAAAAAGACCTACCTCCGCTAGCCATCTCACAGTTAATCAATATCGCCTTCCCTGTGCCTGTTGGATCCAGCCAGTACTTCCCGCTAATGGTTTTTTTACCTTCACTCGCCTTTATTTCGAGACAGGATATCGCTGGTAATTCGGGGATAGAACCTAAAGGAGCTGCAGTAAAAATAGGAGTTATGTTTTATTCCTACTCTTATTTCTCAATTATAGGTGAGAGAGAAAAAAAGGTTGGCAAAGTATGAAGAAAATCTAGAGAAACAAAAATCAGCGAGACACATAGACTTCTGACTTCTTACCTCTGCCGTTCAATCGCCTGATGTAAAACCACGAGGGGCTGAAAGGAGATTCTCTGGTCTCGCCTCCTTGGTGCGGTTATTTAGTTCACATATTTGGTATTTTCGATTGTAGTTATAACTTTGGCACGCGATCTCTTGTCCACATTTGACATCACAAAGGTGAGGAGCCGCCACTGACCATCTTCTAAACACAGAGCGTTTGAGAGCCATTCCTTGTATGTTTACTTCTGTCCTGCATTGATCATTAGCTGTGACAAACTCCATGGTAGAAGCGAGGAAAAGGAATCTCAAATTTCGGAACAGCCAATACATACCTCTTCGCTTTTATTGAATTTGAAAATATCGAGGATCATTCCCCAAAAGATGTTATATTCCTGCCTAACGACAGTCTACCTTTAAAGGAAAAAAAAAGAGGTGTCTTTCAAAAAAATTCAAGACATAACAATCATAGTATATGCAAATTTTGATTAAAATTTGTTGCTTGAAAATTCACCAAAAACAATCCATAATTGCTGTTAATAATCCACATTTTACGGGAAAGAAATAAGTCTAAGAATGTGTGTCTGTGCGTTTTCTTTACTTATTAACAGAACAGTTCAGTATTCAAAAGTGGAAAATAGATATATATATAGTATATAATACTTCCAAGAGACTATCAATTGAAATTCTCTTTTAGTCTTTCAGTGCCGCTTGTTCAATAAACTAGTTCATTTTTTTCTCAGAGGCCACGGTAACGAATCCTGCAGTATTGGTTCTTTGCATACTTTATTACCACACAATTCAAGCTAATCGAAATGTCCCAGACTCGAGCAGGCGGGGCGTGCAAACAGAGAGATCTAAAAGGCATGTCCTATGGGAAACAAAACTGCCTTTCATTGTACTCGTTTCGGTATCTAAAAACCAAGATAAAGGAGATAACATATCGGTTCTATTCTAACTCTAGTATTTCGACTCTTTCTTTAACGTTAACCACGTCCGAACTCTTCACATGATTTCTGTACCGTTTACACGACTCTCTAAGTTGTTCTCTAGAGGTAAAGAAATCATCTTGTCAATTATTTGTTTGAATGCAATTTGTTTTTAATTTTTTTAGTTTCATTTTTTTTTATTCAGTTCCATTCGAGAAAGCAAATATAATAAGGTTGGAATCTTATTCATAAACACAACAGACTTTTTCTTTCCCTGTTGGATGTCGTCTCATTCATATATCAGTTTAGAGTTGCGCCCTGAAAGAGGACTGAAAAGCCTTTGAAATGATTGTTTTATCAATATTTGTCATTTTCCGGCTACATGCATGTGCCAAGCTGTGATGAAAAATTTAGGGTGCTTTGGTAAAAGATGAGAGTTGGCTCGTTTAAAGTCCTCAATACAATATTTTGCACCGTATGTTTAGGCGTAAACGCTTTGAATTTTTTATTTAATGCATCAATACACGGAGAAAGTACATTCCATTATCTTTGTATTATCATAGAGAACAATATTTTTTCTCATATTAATGATAACAGAGAATGTCGCTTACCTTGAAAAGGAATAACGGATGGTAAACACGCAGTTATCCCTTAGAGCCCCCGCACTCACCAACGTCAAGGAGACTTGATTATCAGCCCTCAGAATCTTTTAAGCCTAAAAGATATATAATTCGCCTCTGCTCAATAATGAGTGCCCTCAAACATTTCAAAATGATATGTAGAAATAATTAAGAAAAGCCCTCCAGAAATTAGATCGGCACTTTGCGTCAAATCGTTGCTAAGAAGCTTGGTTTCTTAATGCATAGCCTTTGTGCATTGAAATTTGAGTCCGAGATAAGTCCTTGATAAAATTGTTTTAACTATGGTGTCGTGACCAAATATTATGAATTTAACATGTTGATGCATTAAGGACATTAATTTTTTATCAGCTTAGAGAACGGAAATTGCCCGAACCTCCTTATGAGGTTTCTATTGTAGGAAAGGCACCTCGTGGACGCAAATTACAACCGACATAAGAACACCTGTGCGGCTTGAAGATAATTAAGTCCTGAAGATTCCACTTTTCAAAGCAGAAACGAAGTGCAATCGGTCAAGCAATTTAAAACTTTTTCTCTTACTATTTATTTCAAATCACCTTTATCTCAACTCAGTTATCAACAATGGAGTGAAGAGTTGTCTCCAATCACTTATCCAAAGTTACCCTCATGATTCCGGCTTTGTCCAAACTTACATGAACGCTCTCAATATTTTATTTCTTATAGCCTGAAAGACTACTCCAGCCTTCTGCACATACAGAATAAAGCAAGTACCCGCACGACATTTGGCACATTTTTTTTTTCATTCGATCCCTTTCAAGGCACCGCAAAACCTCAAAACCGCGGAGAGAAAGTAGAAATGAAGGATAATTCGACCATCAAGGTGTTAAAACAAATACACAGGCCTTCTGTTCTATTCTGGCTCCTCACAAGCAATGAATTCAACAAAATTCAGGCCCGAAGTTAAAGTTAATCTGTTTGCGATGTTCGCCAACCAATGGCGAAGATACTTATATCATTAATATGAAAATGAAATTTTATCGGTATAAATTATTGGCTTTGAAATTGGTAAATTTTGACTTCAAACTTACGAAAGCTAATTTAAAATCAGCTCTTAGGAGTGTTTTGATAACGTATCCCTCTCGTTTTTCCATTGTCCATTGCCTAACTAAAGACGCTCATCCATAAGTTTAGGGAAATCTAATTAACAATAATTAACAAATTGTCTATTCCATTTGTGCACTGTTGTATAATTTTAGACTGGGGACTTCGAGTTAATATTGATGATTTGTGATGCAGTTCATTTATTTATAGTAAACAAGATTCCATTATTCGAGAACGACATACAAACTTGAGTGCAGAGATGAAGCTACAATTTGAATTTAAGTTCAGCATCAGGCCAAGTAAATTGCAGAAAAAGTCTACGGAAATGCAACAAAATGTTTAAATAACAGAACATTTTTAATTAATTGCCACTCAGATATGCACGAAGAATTCGGCGACTGTGAAGTTCATTTAAGTTAATGACGCTGCAAAGGTGACAGGTTCTTTTTTGTCATCTGACGTGTTGAAGTTCTTTTATCCTTTCGTTCCTTAAATTTATGATGTAGGTTGCTCGCAAATCATAGCACCTAAGAATTTCTGGTGTGTCTTCCAACCCTTTATCACCACAATATGGTTTCGTATGGTTTGTTTTAAAATGAAAGACATAACACGGGTCCTAGAAGCTATCAATGACCATATTTGAATACAAAACTTGTATTCTAATAAGGACTCGCTTTAATTTTTTTCTGGGTTTTTTTTGTTTTGTTTTGTCTTTTCTTTTTTTCGCGGGGTTGCTCAATCTTTTAACATCGATTAAGTGTTACATGCAACGAAGGGAAAATTTTGAACAAATTTTTATTTGAAATGACTAAATTGAGTTAGAATTGTGTCGTCCTAAAAACTTCTAGTCCTAGAGAGTCACTTTTTTTAATGCATTAACATTTGTGGAGACGTCAGGTGTGTTAATTTTGATAGACAGAAACGACTTCTCAGCCTAGAGCAAAGTCACTCTCATTTGACATACAGGGCTCAAAGTAATGCTTAAGACAATCTCTGGCCATAGAGTGCCCACTGATTGGCGATTCACCTCTATGATAACAATTACCGTAACATATCAAAGAAAAGGTGTGCGGTAGGAAAACTTGGCGGTATTTTAAGGTATTTTCATTCCGTCGGTTTGGGAGAGGGGAAAGAAAATGCACATGTTTGCAACAATTTGCGCATGCCGATCTCAATGGTCGTGGACTATACTTAACTGAACAGAAAACTGAGTCGAGCTCTTTAAAGAACACAGCTCAATTCTCTCAGTAACTTCCTTTTACGGTTACGTGAACAAGAATACGATTTATATATACCCAAACTTGTGCTGGCTTCTGCTGTCGCATTCTTTTCATTATAGAATATGCACTTATAGATTGCAACGTCCCTTAGCTGGAACTCACGTATAACAAGTTCACTCGTGATCAGATTGTGCTCATGAAATACCGCTGTAGAATAAACACGTTTTCCATCCCTGAGCCACTTAACTCGAGGTAACGGTGCTCCACCAGCGGAGCAGTTCAGCTTCACTGTATCGCCAACATTCTGAACATAAGTTTCATTGGGAGGACTGAAAACCATGTTGGGATTCACTAAAAGGAAACATACCAACCGTTAGAGTGCTAAGAAACAAATTATCACCTTTGATAAGCGACATCGAGGACGTTTTTGTCATAACGGGGGCAGAAGTAGTTTTAGTTTTTTCGTCGTTTTGTCCTCGTCCTTCTTTTCTTTTACGCGAGATGTCATTTCTGTCGTGCTGATCAGTAACGTCTGCCAACTTTCCTACATCTTTAACAATGACCCATGTAACAGCCATGACACTCCCCAATTTATTGGTTCCTTGACACACATAAGCACCGTCATCGTCTTTTGTCGTGTTCCTAATTATAAGCCGGTTGTAATCTATAACATGCCTGTTGAGGGGAAGTTGATTGAGGGATCTTGTCCATGTGATTACAGGAGTGGGATAGCCAAATATGTCACATTTGATAATAGCGTCCCATGTTTTATAAGCGGTGACAGATTTCTCCGGTTTCGCTTTAAATCTTGTTGGAACTGCAAAACAAAAGAGAATAGGAGGAAGAAATCATAAACTGAGATCTACAACACATCATGACAAAAATGATGGAAGTATTCGACTATTTTATGGGCAAACAAGAAATTTTAAAATATTGATACCTTCAACAGTGACATTCATTGATAATTCAGTTCTACCCAACAAATTCTCTACTGTACAGGTGTAAGTTCCACGATCCTCGAAGACAATTTCCTTTATTTCCAAATTGCGTTCCTTAAACTGCCTTCTCGCGTCTTTTATCAGGTATCCATTCTTATACCATGTAATTACTGGCGGGGGAAAGCCACCCGCTTCACAAGGTAATCTCACATTTTGCTTCTCCTTGATTGTCCAGGAAGATGGAGGCTTTGTGACGAAGTATGGTAATTCTGTAATTAAAACAGAACTTATTATCGTTACAGCATTCATCTTGCAATTTGGAGACTGAATTTGCTATCATTATGGCATTTTTTTTGCATTTTAGAGACTGAATTTGCTATCATTATGGTAATCATTTTGCAATTTTAGGACTAAATTTCCCACTATTATTGCGTTCATTCTGTATTACCATTGAGGCAATTATTTTGCATTTTGAAGACTGAATGTGCTATTATTTATTATAGCATTAATTTTGCAATTTAGAGACTGATTTTACTACTATTAGAGCCTTAATTTTGTAATTTAGAGACTGAATTTACTATGATTATGGCAATAATTTTATAATTCAAAAAATAAATTTGCTGTTATTTTGGCATTCATTTTGTTATTTTGAGACTGAACAGGCCTTGTAATGTCTCCGATTATAAAAAATATGACAGACTGAGAGCATTAATTGATATATAATATAAACAGCCAATTGTGGCAGTTCTTACAGAGTCGATAAATGTCATAAGCTCGGCTTGTAATTTACCACGATCGAGTTTACAGTTAACGCCAAATCGACAGCATCTTGGAATACAAACATCACAATCATGATAAATGACGAGGAAGAGAACATATGCCAAATATCAAACAAACCAAACACGAAGCAATGAAAACATTGAAATATCACGTTCCAGTCTAGAAATTGCCAATTGTTACTTATATTTTGCAAGTTGAGAAAGTATCCATTGTCATAGAGATTCTAGTCATTACCTAGGGAACCTCCACTGCTAACATTTGCGACGTGTTGCGACGATTTCCCAGGGGTTACCGGTGGTTTTGATAATCCCGGTGGTCCTGGTGGTCCTGGTGGTCCTCTAGTGCCCCGCTTCCCTTGCCGACCAGCGACGCCTTTAGTTCCCTTCTTTCCCCTCTTCCCATTTTTTCCATGAGGTCCCCGTGGTCCCTCCGGACCCCTAGGGCCAGACGTTCCTGGTGAGCCACGAGCACCTTGGGCACCGGGTACCCCAGGAGGACCAGGTGGACCTCGTGGTACTTCACGACCTGATGAGATGTTAAAAAAGATATTCATTCATTCGTTCATTCAAAGACATTCTCGACAGAGCGGTAACCTTAAAAGTCAAAAATCTGGTATTTTTTGCCCTGTTTTTATTTAAAATCGAGAAATTTAATGGTTTTAAACATAAACAATCAAAATGTCAGAAGCGAACAGACCTGATTCAATTAAAAAAATTATATTTAAAAGGTAAGAGGCTTTGAGCCCGTGAGGTTACCGCAAACTGCGAAGCGAGTCCCAGGCGGGCTGAAATAAGACAGTGAGATTGAGAATGTTTTGGGAACGTGAATATTTTTTCTTTTTAGGGGGGAGGAAGGCGTTGGGCGGAGTTGGGGGAAGACAGAACAAATCCACCGAAAGTTGTTAGATGTCATGTTTTTATCTGACCAAGAAAATTTCTGGAAAAAATTCAAGATGAGACACATCAACCAACCCCTTAAATTATTAATTCGTTGTACCAAATGATGAGAAAATAGGAAAGAACAGGACAGAATTTGGGTACATTGACTAGCAGAAGACGTTGAGATGAACTTACCATTTACACAAATTACTTTTTGCAGGGTGTGTTGTTCTGTCGAATTCTGTTGATGAAAAACAGATCAATTGATAAACCTTTAGATACAGGTATGAATTATCCACCTATACTCGACTATTACGATTGGTAAATCCAGATTGCTTGTTTTTTAGCACATTCCTAAAATTTAAGCTCTGTTATGAGATATTAATTGTGGCTTCTCTGTTGTTATTGGTTTAATTGAAGCAGTATTGAAGCTTAGCAAGAAAAGTGAGTTGTCAGCATTCCTTTTCAATGACTTAAAAGTGCCTTAGGCATCAATTACCAGTACATTTGGGAACACAATGACTGACAGCTTCTGAAATATCGAAATTCCGTGGCAAGCCGATTGACTGGTGATTCAATGGATTGTTTAAATTAAGCATGAATAAATTTGTCTGGGAATTATAAATTCTCTCAATGACCCTCCACGGACCCGCTTTTACACTGTTTCATGCCTAAGAAACAGAAATAATTTAGGTTTAACAATTAGGAATGAAAACCTCTTTCACAGTATGTTTTAAGACACAAAATACTGAGTGCTGATACAAAACAGGTCTTGATTATGACCCATCTAACAGAGGTACATAAATGTAGAGGAATCCCTCACCAATCTCTGCCTGAAATGAACGAGTAAATTACTCACGGGTGGTTACTGGTTTCTAATTTCGGATTAGTGATACCAAACAAAATGTCCACTTCTGGGTAACTTTGCGGAATGCAACCTTAAAACTGTTTACTCGCACTGTGAGACCCCTTTTAGATATGAAAAAAACTCTTACCCAGGCTTGTCCTGTATCAGTTTAAAGAATAATGTAAAAACAAACGTGAAATGAAGGAATGTTGCTTTTGGAACAGCTTGTGACAAGTGAACTAAGTCATTAATTCTTCTTAGTTCAACTCACGCCGTTCCTAATAAGTTCATCATTTTTACTGGTGGACTTCTCACGCAGTTAAGTCTTTCAGGTGGGGCCAACAAAAAGATACATCATATGTCCAACTGGCACGGACTGCCAGGTTGGTGCTGCGATTCCACCCACGTGATTCCATTAGTCTGTCTTAACCTTCTAATTATAACTAAAAAGCTGTATGTCCCAAAACGACATAAAAAAAAATAAGTAGTTCAAATAACCGCATTGTTTGAAATAGCTATTAGAAACAAGAGTAGCACAGCAAGATACTCAGTATGTGCTAACTCCTAATTATCGAGGCAGGAAGACAAACACCAGATCATAATCTCAATCAAAATGCCCGAAAGGTCTCACAGTAAGAAGCACTGCGGATGTTGAGAGCAAGCATGTGGTGACGTTGGAATTTTTTGACTAGATGGTTACATTGCAGTATCAAAGTTTCATTTTTATGATATCTACACTACACTCCACAGTTACGCCGTACACTGACGAATTAACGTTGGGTTTTGTTTCATCTATATAATATTAATATTAAAAGTGAGTAAAACGAGTAAAACGAGTAGTATCAAGATCGAACAAGGATTGATTCGGACGTCAACCGACGGGGTGTGTCTAGTTAAGCATCAGAGCTCCGAGCTTACATTTTATGGGATGTAATCCTTTTTTACTCTGATGGCATAGTTGGAAAACCCCTTACAAAAAAAAGCTGTGTGCAGATGTTAAATCAAAGTTTTTCTAACTAAGGTACCCAAATCCATCTATTTCTCTAACTGAAGGAGATTCGAGGTAATTCAACTTAGATGTGCAAAAAAAATCAAGATGCTTCACGTACAAAATTTTGTGTTTTGTGTGTTATCCGACACTTGTAGGAATAAAATTTAATTCCGCTCGATTCAATTATGAATTTCCACATCAGTTTTTTGTTTGTTGGTTGGTTTTATTTTTGACCGATAATAAAATAAGGTTAAATGATGAGATTTCAAATGATGCTTCGTATGTAACCCAGCTATAGCGAGAGTTTATCAGGTTGGCCCTTCTATACACACGAAGTTGCAAATTTTCGGTTTAGCTTAAATCCTTCCTATCCCATATTTCAAAGGCAAACTTCTACAAGTAAAATATGACAGTTACGAATAACGGGTAAGATCGGTGACTAACGAGATAGACACTAACAATTTTGGTAACACATGTACATATCCTCATCAATAATTCTTCCAATGCTTTTTCTGTGCAAAACTTTCAGGAAAGCATACGAGGGAAATCTGCGAGGGAGAATGCATGCAATTAAAAGTTTAAATCTTACCTTCCGTACATCGTGGGGGTAAGAACAGATGTTGCTACACTTTTGGCATATAGACTGACTATCGGAAGCCCTTTTGAAGCGTATAGTGTCCCTCGTTTATGATCCACTGCGACGCAGTTGAGCATGTGTTGGCTTGGTTATTACTTGGTTGGCAGGCTGATGAGGAGGATTTTGAAGCAATTGATTCTGTTCAACTGCTGTTAGACGTGAATCTAATCGATTCAAAGAATAGCACGTAAAACCGAGTGAACATAGCGTCAAAAGTAAATTGACTGAAAGTCCAAACATCAGAACGTGGGATTTGATTTTCGCTTTTGACTCCATCTTCTCCAATCTTCGTCTGATACAGACTGGAAGATTTTCCACTGTTACATTCCATTTATAACCTGTCAATGGTTGTTTTGATTTCACTCCTGTTCGGGAATAATCTATTGAGATCGCCCCAGGCAACTGTATTTGATACCCGTGTAGATTAAGTTGTTTTTCATGATCAGCTGGAATCATTCAAATCTTTCATGACATTTGTATCGGTATTTCCGTTTTTATGTTCCAATTAAAGAAAAAAAAGCTAAAAACATATGCTCATTTTGAAAATGAAACTCAGTTTCGTTATCAATGATTTGATACAATAAATGGATCAAGCGCAAATGCCATACATAACAGCAAAACGTGCCTGTAAAATTTGTCTCTGAACAGGCATGTGGCTTTAAGAAGTAATCGACGCATGTATCCCTGAGACGAAAGGTGATGAACTTCTGGGTCATTCCATAATGTTTTCCAATGCAGCGCTGCTGGATGTATGACGGATTTAGAAAAAGAACTCAACTTGATATCTGGAAAAAAGTCAAAACATTCGTGATTGCTTGCCGAGAATCAAAGGAACGTGGGGAGAACGGTTTCTTCTCAAACTCCACTGCGTAATCCGGCACTTGGCGCCTTTCCGTACCTCAATTATTTTTAGCACAATGTCAAGTTGTCAAAAGGACTTCCAAAGTTGCGGGGCTGGAAATCAAGCTAATTGACGAAACATATCTCATTAACCCCAAATACAAATGAGGAAAATTTGTAAGGAACAAAATGTAACACAAAGAGAATATACAATTTTACTGAGATGTTAATTTGGCCATTCGAAGGTCATTGAGTCGGCCTCAACGGAATCCAACTCAGATAACTTTGCTAAATGATTGATTGAAACATCATAGAAAAACAAAACAAACCTAAACGATTAAGGTCGGATTCAATACCTTCTAAATTTCATGCAACTAAAATTGGAATTCAAGTAATCGTTTCTTAGAGTGACAGGTATAGAAATTTATCGTTACCACTGATTACAGTTAAAAGTATATTTTTCTACCATTCCCAAAGACTTAACATGGTATCATCTAAAAACTCCTCGTACCTTTATCCCCACATTGGGAAGTACAGATAAACTAGACATTTAAGTCGTATTTTGATGGGTGAGAAAAATGTTGATCTGTCTTCTTCTTCCTTTTCTTCTTCTTCTTCTTCTTCTTCTTCTTCTTCTTCTTCTCCTTCTTTTTCTTTTTCTTCTTCTTCTTCTTCTCCTTCTTCTTCTTCTTCTCCTTCTTCTTCTTCTTCTTCTTCTTCTTCTTCTTCTTCTTTTTCTTCTTCTTCTTCTTCTTCTTCTCCTTCTTCTTCTTTTTCTTTTTCTTCTTCCTCTTCTTCCGCTTTTTCTTCTTCTTTTTCTTCTTCTTTTTCTTCTTCTACTTCTTCTTCCTCTTTTTCTTCTCCTTTTTCTTCTTCTTTTTCTTCTTCTACTTCTTCTTCCTCTTTTTCTTCTTCTACTTCTTCTTCCTCTTTTTCTTCTCCTTTTTCTTCTTCTTTTTCTTCTTCTTCCTCTTTTTCTTCTCCTTTTTCTTCTTCTTTTTCTTCTTCTTCTTCTTCTTCCTCTTTTTCTTCTCCTTTTTCTTCTTCTTTTTCTTCTTCTTCTTCTTCTTCCTCTTTTTCTTCTCCTTTTTCTTCTTCTTTTTCTTCTTCTACTTCTTCTTCCTCTTTTTCTTCTCCTTTTTCTTCCTCTTTTTCTTCTTCTACTTCTTCTTCCTCTTTTTCTTCTCCTTTTTCTTCTTCTTTTTCTTCTTCTACTTCTTCTTCCGCTTTTTCTTCTCCTTTTTCTTCTTCTTTTTCTTCTTCTACTTCTTCTTCCTCTTTTCCTTCTCCTTTTTCTTCTTATTCTTCTTCCTGTTCTTTCTTCCTCTTTTTCTTCTTCTTCTTCCTCTTCTTCCTCTTTTTCTTCTCCATTTTCTTCTTATTCTTCTTCCTCTTCTTTCTTCCTCTTTTTCTGCTTCTTCTTCCTCTTCTTCCTCTTTTTCTTCTCCATTTTCCTCTCATTCTTCTTCCTCTTCTTTCTTCCTCTTTTTCTCCTTCTTCTTCCTCTTCTTCCTCTTTTTCTTCTCCTTTTACTTTTTTTTTCTACCTCTTTTCTTCATCTTTTTATTGTGGGGTCTGGCCCTAGTGCTAGGCCCCGGATGAACTCGTCACTTTTTATTATTATTAAAATTTGTTTTTTTGGCGCGGCTTTGCTCGGCAGCCATCTTTTGCATTTTTTTCACGGTTGAAAAAATAGTATCCATAGCTTCAAGTACATTGATACGGTTCTTAAGGTCTACAAGGAGACTGTCACGGTCAAAGGAAACAGTTATAAGTATCATATTTGTTTGTTTCGTTCTACATTTGTTTTGTGTAATTCTACTCAAATAATTCGGCACTGCGACTACTGTGCGCTGTAATCCATTGCGGTCCTAGTTTTTTTTTTTTTTTTTTTCTCTAGCGATTTGTTTTTCGTTACCGCACTGTGATGAGCATATGCATTACCACAAAGTGTACTTTATACTGTGTATTGCATATGGATAGAATCTGATCCCATCAATATCTGGGCAACTGCCCACCTACCCCTCCCCTAACCCAACATTAACCCTAACTTGTCATCAATTGATTGTTGTTGGGGGAGGGGAGGGGTAATTGGGCAGTTGCCCAGATACTGATATTGATCCAAACTTTGTGCCGAATGACTAGGTGATTAAAAGAAAATTGTAACTCTGCGCTTTGACTTTTTGCTAAGCTGCAGTAAAGCTAGTATTGCAACCACAATTATTATCATTATTATAATTGCGAATGTTGTTAATATTATTGTTACAACTTTCACTATCATCTCTCTGCCTTATTCAGAGCCTTTTTGTCCATGCAATGATCATTTTTCTTGCTTTACCAGTGGTGCCAAAGCCATGGCGTTGTGGTTTGCCCTTTGCTTATTTGTCTGTTCCTTTTTAGTTTACCATTTTTTGTTGTTACTGTTGTTTTTGTTTTTTCTTGCGTGTGTGTCTGATAATATTGTGTCTAATAATTACTGTGTTTTAATCATAATTTTATCGATAGCCGCCTTTGAAAAGCGAGTCCAATGGGTCAGTCTCATCTGAAGAACAATGCGTACAAATGAAATTGAACATCAGAGACATTTTAGTCAGTTGACTCTTAAATATGATTTCTTTATTCTATTGTTTCCCACTTTTGTAAAGTTTTCCAAATCATCTACCTCAATCACTAAACGTTAGGTGAATCTCTTAATGTGATTTATCCTTTATACATTTTGAACACGTTGTAATCCTGCAGTTCACCATGGTACTTAAAATATCAATTACATTTTCATTAGGAAAAAAACTTTGTTCTCTAGTTTGTTACTGCGATCTAGCTCAACGTTAGTCAACTGCTTCGCCTTTTGCAGCCTTGATCTGATTGATTGTCACTGATAGATTATAAATTACTCAATTTTAATTGACTACAACTTCTCTGTAATGCTTATGAGTTGATATACCTTTGAAAATGGTGAGATGGTGTAATACGAAGACTTTTTACCTTGGTTGTTACGCATGCAACATTTATGTAGGTCTCGCCAACCACTCACTAGCAGTTACCTCAAAAATAACTAAAAAATATTATACATCAGTTAACAATATTTTAGTTACCACCCAAACAATTTCTTTCTAGGTTTTCCAGACATAAATTGCTCTAAAACAAACTGGGCAACATCCTTTCTGTTGACCTCCTCGAGCGCTACGGCTAAATGCGAAATCATTTGAGCTCGGCTTAAACGACACCGAGTTCTCCACATGACCAATAATTTAAAAGCTTTCTCCTGAGGACCCATGCTTAGTCCACCGAGCTGACCAAGATCCCTGTCCCCTTCCCCAAGGAATGTTCCAAGCCGAGACCACTCCTCTCCATTCAATTTGTAAGCAACTCGCCGTAGTTCGCGGTCGCTTAAACCATCTGTAAGAGACGAAAAAACAAAATGATCATTTGACGGCAGAAATAAAATGGAAGAAGTGTCTTAGAAGTATTTTAAATTGTACTCATTAGTGACCCCCTTCCCTCTCTTGTGACTTAACTGAAGTTCTTCAAAATATCTTATTCAATGGTTTACTACTCTGATTCTCTATGCCTTAAATGATGCTAGCGTCTCTTTAATCCTCGACAGCTTTGGCAATTGTCATATCGAATTTGGGTACGTCCCCTCTAGTTGATTTTTATGAACTTTTTATTACTTGAATTGCTTGAACTTGCACAGTTCTTCCACTATGATTAAAGAAATTGTACCCTTAGGTTAAGACCCCGAAAGTTTATTTCTACACTTGTCGATTATTAGTGTCAATAACCTGCGTGGAGTCTTGAATTGGTATCTGATGCAAGAATTAGTTAATTGTGAACAAAAATAAATTTAAAAAAACAAACCAGACTGAGTCGCGTCCTTGCCTTTCCCTGGATCTGGAGATACGCCTCCAGCTGAGTCATCTGAGTTTGAATCGAGGCTTATCGTGCTGCCATGGAAACCGGACGTTTTCACAGTATTCAATTCCTGTTCTAGTTTCCTCCGTTCAGTTTCCGCTTGACTAAGCCTCTTGTCCATCACGATCTTCATTTGACGAATCTTCCAAAGAAAAAATAACTTTCATTATTCTTTCACTTTTCGTTGAGAAGGGACGAACCTGATGTTTAATTCCTGAGTTTGAAGAGTTTTGACGAGTCACATAGGGGCGTTTATTCAAACGTAGAATGACAGAAGCAGATCTGTTCACAATGAAATGTGGATATGCCACAACAGGCAGACAAATTGATGATAAATAGCAGCACTCATAGACAAGAATCATTCTCAGGAAGTGATTTTCATAAGAATCTAAATGTGCTTTCTCTAAGAATCACACATACCCTTTGCATGTCGAGACGCGATAGACATGTTATATGCGTATTGAACTATGAATAAAATGGTTTTGGTCTGAATACTTTCTAGGGTCAGTGTGTTGCGTTATTATGTGAGACGCTTAAAAATTACATCGCCCTTTCCTTTTAAGAATTTGAATGGGTACAACTTACGTGTACGAGAGACTTGACGAATGGCTGGAGACCATACTATGACGTTTTAAATTATCGTTTGGGAAAACTAGAAGGAATCCTTTTCCTTAAATCGATGGAAAAAAAGGGGCGAGCTTCAAAAGCAATGGAACAGTAAGCTCGTGATATAATGACTTGTTCCATTCATCACAGCGGATTTGATGACCACTTACAATGTTTTGAAGTTCCACTTCTTTCTTTTGCCAAAGCTGTTTTTCCTTGCTGTGTTTCTCCGACAACTCTGACTGAAGCTCCATGCACTCTTTTCTGATTTAAAAAAGAATGAAATCAAAGTTGTTAGACCTTCAAGTTGTTTGAAAATAAGTATTGCGTAGGCTTATAAAAAATTCAAGAAAATAAAACAAACCTCAACCGTTTTGTCCACTTTGCCTCGACTTCGTCCAGCTCTCGCTTTAGTTTGGATTTGTGACTGTTGCTTAGATGTTCAAGTTCAGCCTGGATTGGATAAATTAAGGAAACGTTTTACAAGCTGAGTTAGAGTGGTGGAATGCTAATCTCTGTAATTATGATGTCGGTAATCCCTTACTTTCATGGAGAGGAAGAAAGTGTACAAGTGCAACGCATTTTTAAGCCTTCGGTGATTCTGTGAATGGAATGTCATGAGCTACGGGATCGAAAGAGGATTTAATCTATGTAGATTGAACTGACATTAAGTGACGGACTTGACGGAGGACAAAAAAAACGAAAATTCTTATAATTATTACTCCTAATCAAACTTACCTCAGAATTACAAACTCGAATTTTTCTCAGAGCAGGCATAAACTGAGCAATCGACAAAGTCATGAGTTAACTGAGAATTTCTTACCTCAAGCTCACATACTCTGTGCTTAGTCTTGCTGAGTTCCTCATCTAATGCATTTATTTGCAAATCAGCCTCGTCGTGAATTCCATTTCTCGATCCATTGACGACATTACTCCTCATCTCGGTCAACTCCCTAACGCGTTTCTCCAAAAGTTCAATTTTCTTATTCTTGGCAGAAATTTCTAGAATGAGCTCTTCTTTTTCGCTTTTTAGAAAGTTATTCATGGCTTCTAACGATTCCATTTTTTTTCTGTGATGACGCAAGTATTGGCTCATTTGCAAGTTCTTTCAGCCGTTTGTTCTCGCCCTCGAGTCGTAAAATTTCCGCTTTGAAATTTTCTACGTCTGATGAAAAGCTTTCCACTGCCGCATTTCCGGATGAGGATTCTTCGATTTTGGTCAGCAGTACATCAACTTCCTAGTAAAGAAGGTGTAAGTATATAACGTTACAGACTGAAATAATTTCCTAGAGTTTCAGAAACCACAAAGTGTCGTTAATGTTTTGTGCTGAATTGAAAAACGTATAAAAATCTTTTTGTCCATTTCATTATAGACTTACAGAAAGGAAATGAAAGGTGAAAAATTTCAGTGCAAATGACTAGCTAAAGCTAAGACTAGTTTTTGGTATGAATGAAAAGTGCGAAGGAAAATGATGTGTTTTGATCCAATTTTAAGACCTACCCTATGACAATTCTAGGAATATTTTTGGGAGACTCACTTGTCAGAAGGATGGGCAACAACAGTTGGTTATATAGTCATTGTTCTACAATAAGGTATCCGTTGTACTAAAGCAGAGATGGTTGGTATAACTGTGCATCACGATAGATAAGTGCTTAGGCTATGATTGAAAAAAAAAGGTGCCTCCGTGCATACGGTTTTTTGTGGTGTAACAACTAACGTGTTTTTTTTAACATTTATAGTCCCTTTAATTTATGTGCCATTTTGCAAATAAACAATAATTACTTTAACACCGCAGTGTGTTTCTTTAAGTGTAAACCCTTGAAAATAATTATAGCTACCTTTTCTCACTTTTTTTAGATGGAAATACTTTCTTCTGGCCCAGGTTATTCTTTTTATTTTATAACAGTACTTAAAATTAATAGCAACTTTCTTAATGCTTATTGCAGCTATAGTTCATTTTTAAAGGTGCAGCTTTTACATTGACAGTGCCATTAGCTTACGGTTGCGTGCGTGAAGTAACAACGTGAATCCTCCAGTGGTTGGTGCAGGTGCATAGAAGTGCATTTCGCTTTGATAACCAACCTGCTCCAATTCGAATATTCTTCGATTTTTCTTTACCAATTGTCGCGCAACTTGTAGTTGCTCCTCGCCTGTCGAGATTTCGCTTCGCTCGTTCCCAGTCCACTGCGTTTTTACGGTGAGAGTCTGTGTGGGAAAATCAACAGGATCTTGCTTCTCTTCGAAGGTATCCCGTTCTTTAAGGATTGAAATACTCTCCACCGATTGAAATCTACGAAACTTAAACCTTGAGTGAGAGTTCGGCCCCAGTCTCCCATCCGACGTAAAAAGGCTCTTTCCAGCTGCCAGTTGATCTTTCTCTTGGCCAGCAGTTGATTGCATTCGCTTCATAAACTCGATTTTAAGAAGCAAATCTTCTTTTTGTTGTTGAAGTTGTGTCAACTTGTCCTTATCAGAAGCTATTGTCTCGTGAATAGCCTTTATTTCTTGCTTTTTGGATAAGATGTCTTCATCCGTGTGATGGTTACCGACCAATTCTTCAAATTTCTAAAAGAGAAAAATGGTTGAAGTACGTTATAATAAGGTCACTTTGTAGGTTATGAAACCTGCTGGTCAAACAAACTGAGACTGGGTTAGTGAGTCAGTCAACTACTGGTGTTACCCATTCCATCGGTCAGTCATTAAGGTTTGGTATCATGTCAGCTTATGAGCAGTGAAAACGACCACTTGAGAGACTATCCTCGGCGAGTTTTCATCGAAAATTTCACCGCTGAGTAGGATCAAATTTACTCGAAAGAAACATCTAGTCCACTCCGTGGCGAATGTGTATATTAATTTCTTAGTACTACCAAAACCATCCTACCTTGATTTTTTCTTTGCCTTTTATTGGTTCTTGGCATTCACGCTTCAGCTCGGTATTTTCTTGCTTTAAGACCTTGTTGTCATTTACCAGTCTTTCTCGGTCCCATATCAGGGTTCCAATACTTTCCTTGATGCTCGACCATGCTTTACTTTTTCCCGCTGATATGTCGGCGGCGGTGACGCGAAATTTCCACGGGAGTTTCGCTTCTTCCAACGGATTTATCACGTTTGAAACAATTCTGTGACGGGTGCTTTCAAGCTCGTAAATTAAGGAGTCGTTTTCTTTTTTCTTCTGGCTGCTCTCTTCAGTTTTGCTTTCCCTAATTTTTATTTCGTTGTCAAGTCTTTGTTTAACCTGATCCAATTCTTTAGCCAAGGCCTCAGCTCGTTCTTTGTTAGGACGAAGGCTCTTTATTTCTTGTTCTAGTGTCCATACTGTTCTTTCCCCCTGGTTTTGCTGTGGTTTATTTTCCCTTACGTTTTCTGTCCAACCTTGAGGCTTTCGTGTTTCATCCCCCAAAACCTTGACCATGTTCTTTTCTGTGGCGTTCTGGGCTTTGTTCTTCTCCCCGTGAGATCGAGTTTCAAAATCGCCTTTCTGCAGTTGAGCAACACTTATCTTTTTCTCTAGATGTTTAACCTTTTTGGCCACTCCGCCCTGTTCCTGACCACTTAACTCGGGAACTCCTTTCAGTTTGTCAATTTCGTGTTGCAGGTTTAAATTCATTTGTTGAAGAAGGGAATTTTCTTTCTTGAGTTCAGAAATGCGTTCTTTTGCCTCAACGAGCTTTCCAGTCTCGATATCAATGTCCTCCTCGAGTTCTCTGTTCAGTTTCCTGATACGTCCGTACCGTTCCTCCAGTTCGATGTGATTTTGATGTAGTTCCTCATTTTCTTTAAATAGATTTCCAATTTCCTTTTCGGCGTTCTCCAGACTGCGGCACTGAGAATCAAACTTTTCTTTTAAAGTTTCTAGTTCCCTGCTGACTTGGACCTTTTCTTGGGATGTAACTTTCAGCTCGTTTTCAAGTTCAATCTTCGTGTTTTCTAAAAGGTCTCTTACTTCGGTCATACTTTTCATTTCTCTGGACTTTATTTCCAAAGTCTTTTCAAGAATGCCAAATTTATCTTTAGAATGATCATATTCTTTTTGCAAGGCGTTATAAGACTGCAAAAGTTCCTTGTGATCTTCACTTAAGTCTTCAACTTCTTTCTGAAGGAAATCGACTTCTTGTTTTAAGGCTTCTGTTTCGTTGCGTTTGTTACACTTTGTAAGTTTAACATTTCCAGGCTTTTCTTCTTCAACGTTGTATTTACCTGCAACTTCTTCAAAAGTTGTGAATTCGTCAAGTTTTCTTCGTACGTCTGTAGCATTGCTAGGTTTCGGTTCGTAAATCTGCTCTGATTCTTCCCCATCTTCCAAGAGTGCTATCGAGGTTTGATTTTCTATGATGGCATTCTGTCCTTGAAGGCGTTCAATTTCTGTTGTCAGAGCGTAATTCTTTTTCTTTAGGACGTTTATTTCCTTTTTCAATCTCATCGTTTCCAAAGCTTGAGTTTCCAAGTTGACTTCGAGATCTCTTGATTCCTTATTAAGTCTCCGATTGCTTTCCAATGAGGCATTGAGATCTTTCTTGATAACATGGAAAGATTCAAGCTCAGCCGAAAGAGCTTCTTTTTCCTTCCTAGATTCACCCAAATCATGATTCAACCTGCTCAGCTCCATTAAATGACTATCATTGAGCAAAGTTAACTCCTTAATTTTGCTCATTAGAGTTTGGCATTTTTCCGCCAAGACTCCATTTTCCTTGGAAATCCTTTCGGCCTCATCTTCCGCTGCCTTAAATGCTAATGTTATTCTTTGATCGCTTTCTTGTTCTTTGACTAAGGATTCGTTACGCTTAATCAAAATCCTATTTTCTTCAAATGCTCTCTCTTTCTCACTTTTAATGAGGTCACATTCTCTCTTAAGTTCATCTGTTGCCTTGACCTCTTCCAAAAGAGCAGCATTTTCCTCTCTCAAGCTACTTAACTCTTTTAGTCCCATTACTTTCTCTTCTTTCAATGTTTCAAGATCCTCCTGCATTCTGTCATATTCCACAATCTTTTCAAGGTGAAGATTATTCGTATTTCTTAAATCCTCAATTTCTTTCTTTGTGGCCTTTCTCTCGAGTTTTAGAGCCTCGATGGTTTCTCGTAGGCTTTCGGCATCATCTTTTAGTGCTTCAAAGGCTTCTTTCAATTCTTCGAGCTGGTTAGCTTTCTCAAGAAGAAGCTCATTTTCACTTTTTAGTGCTGCAATCTCTCTCGAAGCAATCTCACTTTCTTTTTCTAAAATTCCCAGATGTTGCAATCCAATTGCTTTTTCCTCCCTGAGAGTGTTAAGATCGGCTGTTATTTGGTCGAAATCTTCGCTCTTTTGATTAAGGCGTTGGTTTTCATCTTTCAAAGTTTTGATTTCCTTGATCGCTTGCTCTTTGAAGATTTTCAGAGTTTCCACGTCCTCGCTTTCTTTTGAAATTTTCTCTAGATCATGCATCAAATTTTTGCTGTGCTTTCTCAGCCTATCTACTTCCTTAACCGCGTTGCCCTTTTCGTCTTTAAGAAGTCTAATTTCATCGACGTAGGCGTCTATCGCCTTTTTATCAGCTGCCGCGACCAAATCTTGTTTATGCAGACTTTTTTGCATCTCCTCAATCTTTCCTTGTAATATGAAACGGTCTCTTTCCATTTTTTCAGCGCGGAATATTTCGTCCTTTACTTGTTTTTCGAGTTGACGGCGGTCATTTGTTGCCTTGACAAGGTCTTTTTGAAGCATCGAAAATTCCTTTATACCTTCCTCTTTCTCTCGTACCAGCGATCGCAGCTTGTCCCGCATGGACTCAATCTCGTCTTTCATGTTCGTTAATTCAAGAATTCGCGTTTGTAACGAGTCCTCAAGCTCTCGCGATTTCGTTTCGCTCTCATCGCGCTCATGTTTCTCCTGCTCCAAGATCTTTTTCTCTTTCGACAAATTCCTGTATCTCTCAGAAAGGTTAGTATAAAGTGTGTCACCCTTTTCTCTTTCTTCTTTGACCACTTGTAGTTCTTTTTTCAACGAATCGAGTTGCTTGCAAAGAGCTTCGGTTTCTTCTTCATTACTTTTTAGCTTTTCTCGCAAGCGAGCCTCAACTTGGTTCATAGGTGATTCACTGTCATTCAGCTGTGCCCTCAATCGATAGCATTCCTCCTTTAGCTCTCTGTACAATCTCAGACCTTTCTCTTCCCTTATTTCAAAATCTTCAATCTCATCTTCCAAAATCTGATTCTTCTTTAATTCCTCCGCTAACCTCGTCTCAGCATCCTCAGAAATCCTCCTTACTTTCTCGAACTCTTTTTTCAACAAGACGAACTTCTCGCTTTTTTCTTCTCTGTTCAACACATTGTTGATTCTTCCCTGAGGCGAAATGCGTTCGTCTCGACCATTTCTATCTTCTCTTGGACTATGGTCAGCTGTGTCAAAGCAATCGAAATCCATAGACGCATATTCTAGTGTATTTTCACTTCTTCCAATGATTTCGCCTTCCATATTAGGATCGAGGAAACTTTCCTGAAATATGAATTTGATTAAAGCACAAACCAGAGTAGCCTTGAGGATTTTAAGATACAACCAGCTTCTAATCAAAATCAATTATTAAAATGATCTATCAACGTTTTTTGTGCGTCGGAATCTGCTTCTATAATACAAGTTTAACCCTCCCCTGTTAAATCTCTTTTATTCCGATAAAATATAAACAAGTACTGGTACTTTTCGACGGGCAACACACTTTTTTCGTATCGAAAGGTATTTCAGCAACAGAATCTTTTTATAATGTAATCAGTACAGCAAGTACAACTCGAAAGACGATTACGTGATATGATGGTATAATAATTATGGTAACGAATAGAAAATGAGGCGAGTATGATTTCGATGACCGACTTAAAAATACATAAATAATGAGTTACACTTCTGTTGCTGTTTCTATCTTATACCTTTATGCGACACTAAAAAAAAAAACATAATCCATACCTGTGTACTGGATTTCACCTTTTCCTCTAAAGTTTTGTTAAGCTGTTCTGCTGCAGAAAGTTTGCCTTGTAAAGAAGAAATTTCTTTCGTCAGCTTACTCATCATAGATTCGTAATCCTTTATTTTTTCATTCAGGTTTCCTTGGTCTTCTTTAGGCGTCGCCGAGCTTGTACCATCCTTTCTCGTTTTCCAGGACTTAATTTCCTCGTTGGCTACTTCTAACTGTGACTTGTAATTCATGATGTCTTTGTTTCTGTCCTTGTTCTCTGCCTCAAGATGCTCGATTTTCCCTTTTAATTCGACGATTTCAGCTTCCCTGTCGTCAAGATCATCTTCCAGGTTATCCCTTTCCTCCTCCAGGGAAGATAACTTTTCCTTCAAAGCTGAAATATCTTCTTGGCGATTTTCTAAGGAAAATAAAAAAACATACGAAACAAAAATCAAACAAACAAACAAACATAAAACAGTAGTTTTGGAGTCCTACAGTTTCATAAGAACTACAAAATTGTATTGAAATACAACATAACAACGAGCGGTCAGAGTGTTTATCTTGCACACTTTCATGCGGAATACCATGACAAATTTTATGCTTTCTCAAAATCGATAACAAAAAAGCAATGTTTGTATATAACTTATCCTTCAGACACATGCTCTAAATATTTGAGTAGATCAATATCTATCAGAGAATTCGTACGTGGCGATGATAGAGCTGTTAGCTGCCTTCTCGTCTTTCGCTCGCTCTCCCGAATATTCTAAACGTTTGCGCACACCACATTCATGACATCGCTGATCTAAGCAGTATGCAAGACGCTTGTCGCATGTGAAGCTCCAATCTGCGACTCCCGCATTGGTTCTTGATTACTCTTAGTTCAATTAATAGTCTTTACTTTCTACAGAGAAAACTGATTGGACACCTTAGCATTTGGAATCAATAACCAATTAACATTTACGTAGGATGCTTGTTTCTTATAGTTGTTTCAGTCTCATGAAGCCTTACTGATAAGCTGACTTCCTAGCGATACATACATGTATTACCCACCTGTCACATCACCCATTTTTGCAGGCTTTAACTGTTCCAATTCTGCGTATGCTTTGCTAAGTTTTGAAGTCAATTCTTCACAAGTTTCCTTGGCTTCGTCTTTTTGTATTTTAACTTTCGTCAATTCTTTTTCTAGGTCTTCTTTTTCTTTCCCCTGCTCATTTTGTTTGGAAACTTCTTTCAAAGATTCTATGTCTTTTGTTAAGTCGTCAAGTTTTAGCCTCAAATTCTTGTTTTCGATTTCAAATGCGCTTAACTTTGTCTCTAGGTTACTCTTATCTTGGCTGAGAGACTTTTTCTGTTCATCTAAAATATTGAATCGTTTCGTGAGTTCCTCGACCAAAGACTCCTTCTCGGTTCGAAGACAAACGTATTGGTTTTCAATCTCGTCTCTGTGCGCTTTAAGCTTTGCGATCTCATTGTCAAGGTCTCTATTGATCAAGGAATTCTTCTCGTTCATTTTTGTTAATTCCTCCTTTTCCACCTGAAGATGTGCAATTTTGTCTTCTAATGACTGCTTTGTATCCCTGAGGTCTTTCCTTTCCCGTTCCAAAAGGTAAACCTTTTCTTCTAGAATATCGTAATTCTCAATCTTTTCCTTGAGAGAGTCGTATTTCTGTGATAAGTTTTCTAAATATTGAGTTTGCTCGGATAGTTTATCTTCCAGGGCTCTCTTATCTCCCTCTGATTCTGCTACCCTTTTTAAAACATCGCTGTTGGTTTTTGCTTTCTTGGAAAGATCTGTCTTTTCAGCTTCCAATTTTGACACCCTGTCTTCCAGAACCCTTCTAGAACTCTGACTTGTGTGAAGATCATCTTCCAGGGCATCGGCGCGGTCTTCCACGTCACGGAGTTTTTCTTCCAATTCTTGGTTTTCCTTTTCCGCGTTTTGTAACTTTGATAGCAGTGATTTAACTTTAGACTCTAATTTCCTTGGATCCAGTGGCAATTCTAGCTCAGACTTTCTGCTCTCTGTAGAGACGAAGATATTTTCTTTTAACGTACGTTGGGGGAATTACAAACATGTGCTTATCCAAGAACTGGCTTGGAACATGGATTGAGATGATCTTTATAGTCGGCCATGGATTACGCCCAAATGTTCCAACACCTTTGTCTCCCGTAACATAACAATAGTTAATTACCACCTTTTCAGACCTAATTAGAGATCGTGACTTAGAATTTATACTCTGTTCGCCAATCCACCTACAGCTAATTCCAATAGCGATAGTTACCTTGTCTCATCAGTTCTGTTGGCGATGTAACGTTTGAGTTTTGGTCAATAGTCATCTCGCCCTGCAATGAGTAAATCTTTGATTGAGAAAGAAAGAGGAACGAGAAACTATCCTTAAAAAAAAATAAAACAGATAAATAAGGGCTAATTCCAACGGAAAAAACAAAAATAAGGGACGAAAAGAATAACAGACTAACCACGGACGGAAGAACTATAGAGGAAGGAAGGAAAAAGCTTTCAGCAAAAATTTGATTGTATGGATTAACTTTAGTTGTATATAGAATATTGTAATTGAACTTTGAGGAGAAACAATACTAGCAAGAAACACCAACAAACTATTTTTGTGTATTGACCTACCTCCGAGGAGTTCTTGCTTTTCCGTTTTCCAGTAAACCCTGGTGACTAAAGTCATCATAAAGAGCACAGTTAAATGCATTGAAATATAACGTAATGAAGCTTAAAAAATGGTCTAGACAGGTGTCTTACTCATGACTTATTGAACACGACGGTAAGCCTTGTAGGGTGATACCAAAATTGATTTACCTTGATCCACTCATGCTCCAGACACTCGTCTACTTTCATTCTTTTTCTACAGAGAGGATAATAACAAAGCTTTAAAACGATTCCTAACGATAATTTCATACTCTATGAGATACTTGTTTCCAAACAATTGAAGAGAAAAGATCAAAAGATTTAAAATAACGGAACCCCACGAAAAACTGAAAGAAAAGACAAAACAGAGCTGATCCATTGATGGAGCTAGAAGTGAACGTTTTGTCGAGAGATGGTATTAAAAAAGAAAAATTTTTTAAAATCATATGAGCAAACAAACCAAGCAATCAATGTGCCAACGGAAAGTATAATTGTTGAATTTTTGGCCCGAATTGTTCTGACTTGCGCACTGGCTATTGTTTATATTGCACACTTATGTTATGCAGAAATTTCTTCGACTAGAAAACTCTTCAATGTTGTCTCGCCACGAGATGAATTAGATCCCCACAGCGTTCATTACTCCATTGAACAAAACATTGAGTGAAAAAAGAGAAAGGATTGATTCATTAAAGCATAAGAATGCGGGTTCATAAGCACAGACTACTACAGTAACCTATGAATTTATATTTTCGTGCTACTCATGTTGCCGTATAAACGCTACAATTTCATAAAATGTAATCAAGAATCAGCAAATACTTTGGATCTTTGAGAAGTAGCCTGGTTATGAAGTCCTTGGCCTCCTTGCTGACGTAATCAAACACGTCCGTAAATTCCCAGCGTGCATCGGTAATGCGCGAGAAAGTGTCTGCCTCACTCTCACAAAGAAACGGAGATTCGCCACTCAACCTAAATTGAAAATTCACAGTTAGGGCTCATTTTGTGGCGTCACGTAAACAAGAAAACGAAGCTTTCGTCGTATTAATGGTTGATTTAATGATTAGATTGATAAAGTAAGAGCATATACGTGCAGGGGTAATCATCTTTTGGAACACTTTCATGCAAGAAGCAAACACTCAAGTCTTGGCCGAAAAAATAAACTGAATACATTCCTGAATAGAGGTTTCAATCTACAGATTTCCACTACTGGTTATAATATTTTCCTTTACAAGACTAGCCATACTCACATAATATAAGCAATAACACCAATCGCCCTGAAAGCAAATAAAAAGGATAGATTTGCATCAGTTATCCGTCGACCGATATAAAATGCCCATAATTAAAACTCAGCACATGTGACTTATTTTTAATACTATTACCACTAAAAATCTTACCACATGTCTGCTGCTAAGGTTACAGGCTCGTAGTTGACAATTTCTGGAGCTGCGTGTGGAAAGAAGGGCACTATGTCTCAGATAATTTTCAAGATTAACCTGGTTTCGAGTTTTACCAGCAACTTCTTAGTACAAGAGGATAACTCGTTAAAGTTCCATGCTAATATGGAAAAGAACGAAATAAATAGCAAACAGAGAAGAAACAAAACTACCAGCACTGACCAGCCTACACCAAGAAAACGTCAGACAAAAGGACAGATAAATGACTTTGTTCATCAACCGAGGTAAAATTACCAACGTATTCAGCAGTTCCGAACGATATCTTTGTTTCTTGCTCAGGATCAAACTTCTTTGTTAGACTGAAATCGATCAATTTTATCTTTAAACCGCCTTCATTTTTAAACATCACGTTCTGTGGCTGCAGACGAAACGAAGGCGAAAAAGAATTAGTGTTAATTTAAACAGAGCCATGACAATGCTGCAAGGAAAATGTTTGGAATAGTTAAGTCGGTAGTGAAGTAGCTTAAAGCTCCGATGAAATGAGAGGGTTTTTGACGTTAGTTTGAATGAGACTCAGTTCACAGATGAATTCTCAATGGTGCCGTTGACTGAGTACACAACTTCCAAATCGAGTTAGGATGCTGTTTGAATTTTTTTTTTTTTTTAATTAGAGGATAAAAGACGATGAATTGCTAACCTTTAAGTCTAAATGCATGAAACCAAGGTCGTGCATGTACTTGACAGCCTCAAAACTTGTTTGAGGATTTTTTACTGCTTCGAACTCAGGAAGAGAATCGCCATCAATACGATTGAATAAATCACCTCCTCTGCAACTGAAATAAGGCAAATCAACATTGCAGTTAAAGAAAAGTAGCTAAATTTATCCACATTTTATTGAGAAATGAATCAAAAGTTCACAGTGGCGACCGAAAAATTCGAAAAATATCTAAGTGGGTGGGAGAGAAAATTGGCATCACTCTCGTCGAAAATGAAACATGCAAAGAGCAAAGAATTTGTATCAGATGTTATACGTTTATTTCGCGCCATGCTGGGGTATTTTAGTCACTTCGTTAGATGTTCTAGAATGACGGTTACGAATAACGTCATACCATACGAGCATTGGGGACGAACGATATGGTTCGCTACACGGTATCGACGGTATCTATTCAAAGTTATTTGGTAAATTACTATCTATAAGCTAAGCAGACCAGCTTGAAAACCGTCAGTGAAAGAGACTTTAAGGGGATCTAGATGAAAAGAGGCATGTTAGTGTATCAGGGCATACCATTCTCTTGGCAAAATAAGGTCCTTTTTCGAGATGAAGGACATTTTTTATATGCACCGTCGCCAAATCTGCTCGGACTTAGGAAATATGGATGAACCTGACCCGGTAGGGTCGGTAGATTTCACGATCTGAGTATCCATTTCATCATTAAAGCAGTAAGCCAAATTCAAGATTAGTTGCATAAAAGACTCGTCCAAGGTAACTTACTACTCCAATATAAGGATAATCTGCCTGGGCTCTTCAAACGCATCGTAGAGTCTAATTATCCGGGGATGGTGAAGGGTATTCATGACGTCAATCTCGCGCTTAAACTCCTCCTTTTGACTAGGTCGCGATTTGATTAACTTAGCACAGAACCTGGTCGCAGTGTCAAGTTCGACGCACTTCTTAACAATCCCAAAACGACCCCTGGGTAATCAAAAAGATTGTTTTACGTCAGTGAAATGTTAAGGTTAAGTGCATCCTACAAATGCATAAAAACTCAGAGCAAGCAGAAAGACGGGTTGGCTATAACCGCCAATTGCAGCTGAGCGCAGAAAACGATAAAAGGAGAAGGCATGAAATTCCGCATGAAATTATTCAAGGTACACCTGTTCTAACAAGCTGACGAGTTATAGAAAAAAGCAATGTGGCTGACCGAAACACTTTTTCTCAAGGCTCGAAAGCCAAGGTACCAAGATTAAACCTTAAAAGGTAAGTAAGGACCTAAAAATGGAAAAACATAACTTTGAGAAGAGTAGGATGAGCCACAGAGAGCGATAGTAAACGCATCAGGATTTCTATGGAAATAATTCAATTCCAAACAGAATCGTTATTAGCCCTCCCATTGTTAACATACCTGCCAACCTCTTCTTCGATACAGTAGAATTTTTGTACATCGCCTTCCCTAATCGCAACAAAATCTATTGGTACAAATTCATCTTCACTCTCTGACTCAGTCTCTTCGTCATCCTCAGACAAGACGCTTTCCACTGGGAAAACAAAAGTTCATTTGAAGTCTTAATCTTCAATATTTAGCCTGCTTTGTTGATCTGGAGGCGTTTATTTATTAAAATCATGTGCGATTTTATACTACAAATGATGTAGGACACGCTGAAAGGGATATTAAAAAAAACTGATTTTATGTAGAAGTTTGATGATGAGGCTTAGAAAGTGAGACAACGTGAGAGACATTGGTGTGTAAGCATACCTTCAACGGTTAACCATCCTGCACACGTGACTCTTCCAGCCTCATTCTGAGCTACGCAACAGTACTCTCCGGTGTCGTCGTCCTCACACTCCCGAATGTTAAGGGTAAATCGGCCGTCTTCGTGTTTAACCACGGAAACACGATCGTTTTCAGTTATGTCGACGGCATTTTTAAACCATTCCAGTTCGTAGGGAGAGTCACCACTGACAATCACCTCAAGAGTAACGTTGTCATGTTCACTTGCTGTTATGTCGTGGAGTTCTTTCTTGAAAACTGGAACTTCTATTTGAGTTTTAAAAGGTGATCAAAAATTAACATCATGATCAATTTAATCTTTAAAAACACCAACTTCAGCGAAGGCCATCGACCTTTACCTATAGAGTTGTCTATTTCTTCATCTTCCTCGTCGGTTTCGTCGCTTTTCGAAAGGGCTGTAAACGAAAATGAGTTAATCAATGTAATCATTCCTATGGTTATTATCATTACTTTTGTCTTAATATTTAATTTCAGAAATTTAACGTCATCTACTTCTCCAATCGAAAGATCATTCGATACAATGAGGAATCATAGCCTTGTCGATTGGCATCACAGATTCTATGCACGCTACTAAAAATGTTAGATGAATTTGCTGATGGCTATGACATTTGAATATGAGGTAGCCTTAGTTTATACTTACAAGACCGTTGTATGGAAATCGTCCCTGTACTTATCGCCTTTCCAGCCTCGTTCTTAGCTACGCAAGAATACTCTCCGCAATCATCATCTGCTATATCCTCGATGAGGAGCAAATGACGTCCATCATCATGACGTTCAACCTTTAACCGCTGGTTCTCAATTACTTCTACACCATGCTTAAACCAATGAATCTGACAATTGGTGTCGTTCTCGATGACAACTTCAAAGGAAGCCGTTTCTCCCTCTGTGATAGAGAGGTTACTTAATTCTTTGCTGAATACCGGTGGTTCTGTCAATTAATTAATCAATGACTCAGTCAGTCGAATTAACAAACAAATAATCCATGTATGATTCAACTGGTTGATTTAAACCCAACTGAAAAATCATCTTCTACAGTAACATTTCACATTCCAGTCAAATGAAAACGACCCCTTGCCGGCAATGTATCAGTTAGTTTGCACAACTATCAGTAAGTTTCTTATTAAGTGACTCAATCAGTCACTCACTTACCCAGGAAACAGTCCAGCTTTTTGTTAAGTTAGCTGGTCTGTCAACTTTGAACCACTTACCCACTCAATTGTTACCTCAGTGAATCAAGCACACTTTCATTCAAGCACGCACGAACGTACACACGCACTCCCTGACTCATCTCCCTCACTCATCTCACTCACACACCGAGCCGCTTACGGAATTTTCAGTCAATCAGACAGTCAGTTAGTCATTTAAGCCACTAAATCAAACATAAGAGAAGCTAATGAATCATGGATTCAACTAGGTATTCATTCATCTCGCTCAAGGCTAGTCCGTTTGTCAATTAGCCGGCCAAAGGTTAAAACAGTCAACTTATTCTGTTCATCAATTGTAAGATGGTTTAGACACTTGCCCTTCGGTTTTCCTCATCATCCTCTTCTTTTAATACGTTTTTTCCACGTTTGTTGTTTCTCCAGCGTCATTCTCGTCTTTTCCTTTACGAATTTCATTAGAGCCAGTTGCATCTTCAACATCCTCCTTGGCAGAAGGAAGAGTTGGTAATGACGGTGCAATCGAGGGACGACTCTTGAGGTTCATGAGAGACGACAAGGTGGATAATCGACGGACCGCTTTCAGTGCGTTAACAGATTTCTAAAAGGAAAAAAAAACTAAAGTCACTTGACATGCAAGACCTCTGTTTCGATTGCTTTTGGAATAAAATTCTAGGCTTGCATAGGTCGGCAATCATATCTTATGAATTGCTTACAGGAAAAGTATTGCACAAACGAAAATACACCATATCCATGCAACCATAATTTAAAATGGCCAGAGCCGCTGAAAGCGAACCAACTTGCCTTGATGTGCGCTTCGTCGTGAGGACAACTATTTACAAAAAGTAACCAGGTAGCGGTTCGGAGTCTCTATTATATACAATTATCTTGGATCAGCTTCTCCATTCAGAGTCGTAAGATGAGTAAACAAAATGTGTATTTTTAACCTAACTAATGTATTCAATCGTTTCTTTGACAGCTGACATTTTGGATTGCACTGAATTGAATACTAAGTTTTAGGTTTTTGAATTTTGAGGATGCAAACTGAAGTTCGAAGGAGGTATAAAGACTTTCAGAAATAGTTCTGATTTAAATTCTGATCAATTTTTTCGCCCCCCTATTGTAAGCTTTAATTTAAGGTAGTCTGGACGTTACCAATACAAATAATCCTTCGGCAAAAGTAAGAAGTGGGAAAGAATTCAACCAACATAAGGACGAAACCATGTCAAGGAAATGAAAGCTGAGTTTCAAGGAACACAATTTGCGACACGTCTGTTACCATGGCGACACTTGATGATTCCACACTCGACTAACCTCGAGGATTTCATCCTCAGTCAGCATCTTTGGATGATTGGCACATTCGCTTAAGAAGGGAATCTATGAGTACATGATTGTATAGATTTGACTGACGTGATCTGGGTTGCGAGTGCCCGTATTTATCACACAAGTACCGTGCCTGTTAGTTTAGTTTAGATGATACTTTGCTTGGATTTACCACATTGTGCATTTGTGGCCGACATTGTGGGACTTTCATCACGGTACTATTTTAAGACGTTTAGAACTGAGCTGTTATCGGTGAGTCATTAACTGAAAGGTTAACGCTATCAAATTAAAACGTGTACTCTAATATCAAGGATACGTGCATACGACAATTGATTAGAACCATAAATAAAACTCAGTATTAAGTCACTAATTTACCGTATTGATTTCAAATTATTGATTATTGTTAGTTATTAAAGTCAGCAAATCACGTCAAATCATCAATGTTAGTAATCATTCATTTATTGCTTCATTAATATTTCATAAATATCTATTACAATATGAAAGGAATAAAGCAAAAACAAATTTTAATCCAAAGGCAAAGAGAAATTGTGGAATGATTGGGGAAGGTTTTATATGTTCCTTATCTACCCAAGCAAAACATCGCGGACACAAGTCCTGAAGTGAAACAAAAAATATGGTTTTTTGACTAACGCTTCTGTAACAGTGCTATTAAGGACTTTGGGCAATAACTACCAGCCTCTCACCTGCCACCTTCGTTTGGCTAAGAATTGTTTTAACTTCTTGGTGTCTATCTTGATAGCGTTTGTTGACGCACTTTTCTGTCAAAGAAATAAGGAAAATAAAACCAGTAGTCAATAAATTGATCATCTAGTTGGCCTTAGCATTGCAACTGTTTCGCACTTATTTAGTTGTTTTCCATACTTAGCCATTCAAAGTAAAGCCAAGCTTGGATTATTGACGGTTTCATATTTTTCTAGTTAAGACCGCTCTTGGACCCTTCCTTTTGAACCATAATTAAACAATAACAATCAACAACTTATGCAAAATAATTTGCATTTTCAAGCAAGAGGGTGAGAATTGATAACAAAAATCAACTCGAGGTGTTGATTTGATCTGACATCGAATCTAGCAGAACCATCAATGAGAAAACGTAAGTCACTCACATAGGAGAATTACTGATTTTGACCAGGAATGTGAAAGCTTCAAACCTTGCCGCTGCTGATTTCAACATCAATGAAATGATTATGCAGAATTTATTCAAGTGGCTCTTTAAAAAATACTTAAAAGCATTATCATTTACCTTCATCCATTCATGCTCCAAACTTTGCGTAACCGTGTTCCTTTTTCTGAAGTTTCAAAATAGGTAAATAGAACAGAGATAAAAATTAAAAAATAACATAGATACTGTTATGCTGGTTAGGTATAGAACGTGAACTGTTCAGAAAGTGATGGGTAATAAGAACTCTCATAGAAACCTTAATGTTAGGCAGACAGACATTATCAGTTGTAACTAAACATACTAATCATACCTGGGGCTTTTCACCATTAGTTGAGCAATGAAATCTTTAGCTTCGTCAGAAATGACGTCAAAGCTCTCGTCTTCAAAGTCCCACTCGACGGCAGTCACATTGGCTAGGGTCTCATTGTTATCCTCTCCCAGAAGTGGCGACAACCCACTGAGGCTTAAAATGAATAAGTAAGAAATTGAACGAGTGCATCGTGGTTTTCATGAGAAAAAAGGGTTCTAGAATCAAGTTTACTGTCGCCAGGGAATACTTATCCGCATTACGAGTGTCAAATGAGTCTTATTTAACATAAGTGACGTTGCCACACAGAAACTGCGTTACTGTTGACAGTAATATTATATTTAAGCTAATGTACTTTTCTTTATTTTTTGGAAAATGAGCGACAGAATTTCGGAGATAGATATCAAAGGGAATTACTAAGACATGCTTTTTCGACCTTTCTTAAGGTTTAAACAAGAGTTTTCAGCGAGAAGGGAATTTAAAGACAATTCTCTTTTCGGGTAAATAGATACCAGTGACTTTATAATAAGCCATAAAAAAAAGTCCATGTTTGAGGTTAGACAAGATTAAAACATGGATCGAAAATGATGAACGAGCGAAAAGCTATTCTTTTCGAAGAACAAACCGTTCGTAAAGAAGGCCTTCAATGCTTAGTTCACTTGTTATTTGTATATAAAGCCACAAAATTACCGCACAAAGTTCATATCACATAGTGAGAGATACTTACAGGATGTAAGCTATGACACCAACGCTCCTGAAAGATAAAACATTGAATTTCATCACCTTTATGGTAAAGAGTCAGTCCGTACTCATTCTTTTAGTACTATGAATGCTCTTAAAACTTGTACTCTTGCTTAAGTTCACTTAAACTAAAATATGCATCAAGCGATTTTCATCTGTTGCCCAGGATCAGAAGTCGCCACATGCACACCAAGCGAAGTCTCCATAGCAACAAGGAAGTGATCTTGAATGTTCTTCCTGGAACAGGTAAGAATCTTTTCCAGAATCCCTTTCCTTCTATTCGTATCCTTATTAGTGGAGTATATGATCTTTTTCTGATGATAAATTTCAATGACCACTTAACTTCCTTCATTTTTTGTTACTGTGTACAACTATATTGTATTAACTATGATTATTAATAAATGTGTTGAGTCAAATAAATAATAAGCAGTTTAGCAATTGGCTATTATTATTGAAAAAACGACTAAAAAACTATCATCCTCAACCCTTCCTTGCCTTTAGATCAATTTACTCTTTCTTTTCTATTCATAAAATTCGGTAATTTGATCCTCAAATTTCTGGAACCGCTTCAAAACAGCGAGATAATGGAGACTTAAGACGACTTTCGTTAAACGAAGAGGTATGTACTTCAATTAACCATGAAGTGATCATGTAAAAGAACTTCAAGAACATACCACATGTCAGTAGCCAATGAAATGGGCTCAAAATTGACCGCTTCTGGAGCTAAAGAAACAAGACAAACAAAACATCAAAAGGCAAAAAAAACTAACAAATATGTAAACAAAGTACAAGCATAAGCAGGGGTGGTACTGGAAAAAAAAGATAAAAAGAGATAAGCAAAAACCAAGATGCTGTTCTCGAATAACTTTCATTAATGAAATTCAGTAGTATTTGTTGGGAACATCTTAGAGAAAACGTACCCATAAATTCAGGGGTTCCCTTGAGAGCAGTCACTGTGACCCCCGGCACGAGCTCCTGTGCTAAGCCAAAGTCGATAAGTTTGATATCCCAGCTGTTCTTGCTTACGCATACGATATTTTCAGGCTGCGGAAAAAGTAAAAAGAAAAAAAAAGGAGGTTTTGGAAGCGTTTACCTTCTCCTTAATTACCAGTACAAAACTTAGGAAGCAAAATAATTATTCCTCGTTCAATCGGTTCTTCCGCACCACTAAATATAGCTCTTCATCCTTGTTGGAAACTCATGACTCGGGCAATTAAACTGCTTGCTTTTTGACAAAATATTTCTTTTACAATACTTATATGAATCCGGTTGCATGGTTTCAAATGAACTTAATATCAGTAATGGTGTATATGTGTAATAAAGGTGAGGAAGTAAGTAGCTGTATCTATAGGCTCTTTGTAAGAAGATTTCCTAACGTGTCGGGATGTAGAAGGAAGGTAGAACAATTTTTCATTCTTCTGCTCAGGAGGTTTTACTTTTTAAGCCTAATGTAAGATATTTCCTACCTTTAGATCTAGATGCACAATATTCTTGGTGTGCATGTATTGAAGACCCTGCAGTAATTGATACATGTAAAAAGAAGCTTCCCTCTCCGTCAAGCAATCAGCATCCGCCACTCTTTCAAACAGCTCACCCCGGACACACTAAACAAAGAGAAGAAAAGTTATCAGAAAAATCATCTTGGGTCTCCAATTAATCTTCAAAACCCTGCTGGTCTAAGTTCTAACTGAACCAATTTGGAGAGTGAGAGGTACAAAACTAAAACAAATGGCGAGAAAACGTGCGAAAGGTTAATTACATAAAGTGTTATCATCGATGAGTTAAGGGTCGTTATTTTTAAATGAGGCATGCCTGATGTTTTACTCTTACTGGATTCTTGATCGATAAAAGTTATGTCATAAATATGGTGTTTCCCGCAAGGAAGCTTTCACAGGACGATTCCAAATCCTTTTACCAACTTATAAAAATATGAAAAAAATTACAGGGAACAAGATAGCCATCCTTTAACTAATTCATGAATAAAATATAACAGTCCACGTTTTCCCTTCCGATGTATCAATTACGTTTGAATTTATCTTTACTAGTTTTAATAAAATGATACTCACAATTCCATTATCATGACGATATTCCTGGACGTCTCAAACGCATCAATCAATCCCACAAGCCTCTTGTGGTGCAGCTTGTTCATGATATCAATTTCACGCACGATGTCATCTCGCGATGAACCGCTGCCAGCCGTACTGAGCCGGATGTGTTTGGCGGCAAACGTGGTCTTTGAAGAACGTTCTGTAACTCTCTTCACTACACCAAACTTTCCTCTGTTCGATGAGAAACTAGATTTTAGATGTCACGGGACTAAAAAAATCACGTGCAGCTGGTTATGTTACATTTTATCTAATCACAAGTGTGTCAGGAAACGATTTTCTGGTTTTGGTTAAATCATCAAGATATTCGGGGAGGCAAACCATTCCATTGCAAGGTATTCAACACGTCGTCTTTTTTTCTAAAAGGTGTGCCTCTTAGACTCCTTAATGAACAGACTATGAGACTAAGGTTTCTCACCGAAGTAAACAAAAGGCACAACGTTTATCGCCCCCGTTCAATCTTAACAAGTGATTATATGCTTGTATATGAACACCGTTGCTTACTTTCCGATCTCCTCATGGACATTATAGACATCGTCCAGACTGGACTTCTTTAGTGTCACGGGTGGTTTGGGTTCCAGTTCCAGATTTTCATCCGCACCTGGGATAAAAATCACACACATGTAGTTACCTTATCAACGAAAAAATGGTATATATGATAATGCAAAATGACCACGAAAGTAAGAACTTTCTCCCCATATACAGGAGGCCAAGAAAAAAAGGTACTTAACAGAAACGAGAACACTAAAAGACAAGTAATAGGCTGGGAACATAAGTAGATTTTTTAAAAGCATACTTCCTGCGCTCATAATCTTAAATGAAGTATGTGGTAATCATTACAATGACTCTGCTTGAGAGGCATAATTACACAGGAAGTCAATATAAACCACAACCGTCACAATGGAAAAGAAATCTATAAGTGAGCCATCGATGGAAGATATTTCTAAGAGAGGATTATCGATCTCTCAAGCATCGCCCGGCAGGGGAGAATCAGGAAGGCTTCACAGTGAAGGGCAACTTAAGAAAAAAGGCGAATGTACTGGTATGGAAAAGGATAAGAATAGGAAAACAGAGGAGGGGAACTAAATGAGTCCAACTGTTTTTCACCGGATCTTGGAAAGATGAAAGATCTTGTCGCGATGACTCGCAATTTTGCGTAGAAAAAGATATGTGCAGCACAATACCAGTAAGTCGGAGAAAGATTCGGCTATGGGTGGTTCGCGTGATGAAATAAACGGCAGTAAAGAAAAAAGCACGTTTATCGAAAGAATCACTCAGGCACGAGGAAATGGTGGGGAATGACGAGAATAGGAAGACCTAGGGGCTCAGGAACAACTGAAAGACTGGATGTGAAGGAAATGGGTAAGCGGAGTGACTAGTTAGGAACGAAAGCCAAAACAAAAATTAGGGACTGAAAAATGGACCCGGCCCCTCAGTAAGAAAATTTGGGATTAATTCAAGTGGGGGAACGGGTTTGGAATGAAAGTAAGGAAATAGTACATGTACAACGGATGAGTAAACTGACCATTAGATGTCAAAAACCTGTGGCGAAGTGCCACTAACAGCAAATGATATAGTTGATGCACAGTTATTCACGGTAAAGAATCATTGTGCAGTCGCCGTATAGGGCAATGAATCGACTTCTAGAGTTTACAAAGTGACCAGGCTCAACTTGAAGATATTCGGCTCTATTTGAAATCATGTGGGTCATATAGACAATATGGGAGAGAGCTGCCTAGAAGACCTTTCTGAAGCGAATAGGGCACATTCGATAACACTCATCCAGACCATTGCAATCCGAGGTAGAACTGTCATCAGCAAGAAAATGATGGGAACACATATTCCTTTTTTTTTTCGATGATTTACTTCTGAAAATATGTTATTAAGCTCCAGGCTATAATGATGCATTTTCTTCCCACACGTTTCCATTGTTTCGCCAACAAACTAAATTTGGCATGTGATGAAGGAATCCGCAAGGGATCTAACGAACCTTTACAGACTCGCTTACCTCATTGTGAGTCTAATAACAACATAATAGTTTACCTGATGTGAAAATCTCGTCCCTGACATTGCTGTAAGCGGGATCCTAAAAGTAAAGAAAAATAATTCAATGGAAAGGCAATGACTGTGTTCTTGTCAATTAATATTATAAAACCGATCAGTTTGTGGTATGCGCAGTCGTTAGGCAAGGTAAAAGCAACCACAAATAATAACAGAAGTCGTTAAGCGTAATCGCTATTTTCAGATTTCATGAAAAATTCATATTTTTTTAATAAAAATAGCGTAGGTTCCGTATACATCTATTCTCTTTTTTTTTTGATTCTAATTCATGGTACAAGAGATAGACCGCCATTTTGATAGTAGTTTTCCAGCGATCCAGATAAAGTAATGTTGTTTAAGATCGGTAAAAGTCAAGCGCCTTTAACGCAATTCATCTTCCGTCAAGAGCTAAATAGACATTCAGGAATACAGGACTCGGTGTTGCATACATAACAAAGCTGAAACTATCGAAAGTATTTTGCAACCACAGTTTTTCGTTATGGTACAAGATAAGTAGAAGGTTGCAGGAAATACATTTGTCAAACAACGCTTTGCGTGCATTTGGATTTACCAACAACAACATATTTCAGATTCCTCAGAACGTCTACTACCTTACAAATTCACTTGTCTAAAATGACAGGATAAATATTCCAATGACATACATAATTATGCAAAGAACATTTAGAGAAAAATCATCACAAGATTACTTCGCAATATCAGTTCGAAAGTAAATAAAGAGCGCGTATCTAAATCAGTTAACATCTGCGCTATCTTTGAAGCTAGATACTGGGATTCATTTGATTTTCTGTGCTTTTTCATCTTTTCACACAGACACTTCATCCGTGAACTTTTCATTTGTTTTTATAATGAACTTAAAACTCAAGCAACTTTTCCTTGTCGAAAGTAATTTGTGTGCGATATTGGCGAGCGATGGTAACATTTTACAAAACGGAACGACTTCATCTCTAATGAGGTTACATTAAGGCGATAAAATTTGATTTGGAAGTAGAAACTTACCTCAAATATTGTACTCAGTTGCTCGAAGAATTTGTACATCTTCTCGTTATTTATCGAAAGACGGCATGCAGCTTGTGGAACCCATTTTCAGACGTTTCAGAAATCTCGTCGCTTAAAGCAGATTTAGAAACTTAACTGAGATCCGACCTATCGATGTTGGGCCACATTTTTCGACGTTGCCGAAGCAAAATCGACTTTTTGATTGAGAGGTTAGCGCTTCATAACTCTCACACGGAGACAAAAACAGTGCACGGTTCAGTGAATGTATTGTGGTAACGTTTTCGCCCGCGAATAAAAGAGCACACCATTGAGAAATAAAAACGGGATAATTCAATCAATGATTTTTGTTAAATTGAAAAGCTGTGAATTGAGCGGTAGACCATTTCTTGATTTGATTTGCTAAATTTATTGAGAAATCTACCTTCAAAACAACAAATTTGGCCATGGAATACGTTATTATTGAGGAATGTTTTGCCTCTCAAATTAAACTTCCACAATTTTTTAGGACAATTAAGGGACTGATCACACCTTTTTCCGTTTCAAAGGCGTCAGAAAATACCCCTAAACAATGATCTGGAACAGAAGCAATCGGCTATTGAACAAATATATGAAAGTAGCAACTACTGAGCCTGCCTATGAAAGTACAGATGATATTTTTAATGCATAGGTGAAGCTTAGCGATTTGTCCAATGAACCCATGTTTACCTCCCTTTTGAAAATCATTGAGACTATTTGACCTCCAAAATGTTTGACGAATTTGGCAGCTAAAGATCATTGTCACGGCTCTTGGTTTTGTTGGTTAAATTCACGAGTAAGACAGGATATAAGCACAACTCGCAAAGTACATATTTAAATGTTGCCAGCAATTGGTCAACCTGGCTAGAATATGGTTAACTTAGGCTTCTCGCGGTGTCTTATGATATTTCTCAACCGTATTGAATTTGTAAGTCAGTTGTGATCTCTACATATCTGTTACTGTTCCATGTTCAGCAAAGAGTATTATCCAATTTCCTTCGAATTTTTTGCAAAATGGAGATAAGGACAAACCCACTATACGGGCAAGCAATCATGTGATGTAGTTTTTTTTTCTTTTTTTAAATTCTCCACTATTATTACTTTGTAAACATGTCATTACAATTATGTATTTGTACAATAAAAAAAGCCGAAAATGGTGCACGTATAAGAAGATCTGTGATAGGACAGTTATTCCTTTTGTCGGCCTTGCATTTCTTACAGTTAGTTCTGAGAATTGCGTGTTATATCAAACAGTTTCCCTTGTATGGCATACTCATCCGCTCTCATCACTTGTTTCCATGACAATGCTTAGATATATATAAATATATAGAAATTAATAGTTGGTCACTTGTGAGAGTTGAAAGGTGAAATTTATGAATATTCTGATAGATTGAAAGTTGGAGTATTTTTAGAGACGTACCTCTTGTTCACTTGTCATTTTCGCTTCACCTTGGTTATCAATTACTTCAACAATCTGGCTTTTATTCCTGAAATTCTCAAATTCTTTAACTTGAGCCAACGCGTCCTCTTTCTCTTGCAAACATCGTTCTTGTTCAATTTGTAGTTTTATGTGCGTTTGCTGCAACTTGTTCAGGTCAGCCTTGGCATAACCAAGTCTTATTTTTAGATCTTCATTCTCCTCGTCCAACTTCCTGTTTTGAATTTGCAGTGTCTCAATCCGCTTGTTCAGTTCTTCGGTCTCGCTTTGTAACTGAAGAGCAATAAGCACAGTGGCTTTGTTCCTCTCCTCGATCGCTTGGTCTCTTTCCTTAACAGCGTCGCTATAGAGCTCCTTCAGGTGACTATATCGTTGTCGTAAATCTTCTATTTCACTGAGCCCTTGAAAAAAATATTGCATTTTTAATTAAGGGAAAAAAAGATTTCTACAGAACACATATATAACAAGGCAAATATGTTTAATGACTTTATTACGATATTAAGTACATCATCATTCTTTCGAGTATAAGCAACCAGTTTGTTGTCGACTGACGATTGTACAGAAAACTCTGTGAATTTTAAGTTAACCTGAAATCTTTCTTCGAAAGAAATGCCTTTAATTCTCCCTCATATATCTATTTATTAATTATTCATTTTATTTTCGAAAAGGTGGATTTGAATGTCTTTTAATCACTGATGGCTACACCAACATTGACAGAATTATCTTTGAAATTCCTCTCTGTTCTGTTAAAATTTTCGCGTACTTTGGGTTTTTAGTCTTGGAGACGCATCTGCTCTGACTTTGGGTTAACGCTCGAAACGTTAGATTTAGAAAACTCTTTACTCTTTGTTTATTTACATTAATAACTCAGTTGATAAAACCAAATTATTCAGAACATACCTTGGCTTGGATTGTTCGTTTTTTGTCAAACAAAAGCTTCTTTTTTTTTTCGACCCGAATGACACTATAATTACCTAACTACAAACAAACCATTCGTAATTCCTACAACTCTTTAACTGAAGGTAAGAATCCAACATCAATCAATTCATCGAAAGCATTCTTCATGAGATAGGAAGTCGCATTTTTGACTCGAAATTTCTATTGAGCTACACTGTTTCAGTTAAATGTAAAGGGAAGGCTAACGTGATTTCGCCAAAGTTTGCCATAAAAAAATAATAATGAGAACGCCTTTATTTAACGCAACTGAGAAGCCATGCTTTTTACTTTGGGTTAAATATTGTTTTATGAGCGGAAGTCAGATTCAAATTTTCGAGTTATCGTCCGTAATGCACTTGAGATGACGTCAAAAGAACGCAAACGATAATTTAGTTGGGCCTGAATTATTTTGTTTTTCATGAACGACAAGTGATAAAAAATGACCGATGTGAACTACAAATAAAGGGGGTAAGTTTCTAAAGAAACTGTGGCGCTGTGTCGGTGGGAGAGTATAACAGGTAATTTAGTGTTAACAACCGAGTTGAAAACATAAATTGGCCACCGTAAAAGAGTTTAAAGGCTAACGTTTCGAGCGTCAGCCCTTCGTCAGAGCTGACGAAGCGTTAACGCTTGAAACGTTAGCCTTTAAACTCTTTACGGTGGCCAATTTACGTTTCCAACTAAGTTGTTAACCCTTAATTGATCTGAACTACGTCGAGGCCAGTCAAGATAAACACGAGCGAGGAGCTCCTTGCAGAACGACATATTTCTGTCCTTTTCCTCTTCCCATTCTTTTTTACTTTTCTCTAATTAACTTTCTCAGAAGTTTCCAAAGTTTTGAGTTTTGGTTCATTAATTGAACAGTGCATAAGCTTTTGCTATGTTCCGTTAGACCATAAACTTCCACAAGACAAAAGAGTGGTTAATTTTGTCAAATACAACACAAGACACAAGCGACCAGCACAAGAGTTAACAAAAGAAACAGGTCGGTTCCTGTTGTTCATTTTTTTTTTCCTTTTGTAGTAAGCATGAATGGGCATGAAACAGGATAAACAAAGAAACAGGCATTTCCGAGTGCCGCTATAGAATATGATCGGTATGAGTAATTAGGTGTTTTTACATCATTTTGAGGTTTCTAACAAGCAGCAAAGAATGCACGTCTTGTAAAAAAGCGATGAGGCATTGAAAATCTTACACTACAAGTAGATCTTTCGAAGTCTTTCTTTATAAAAATTAATTGTTTCTTGTGCATGTAATCGGGTCAATGGGATGAATGTCAATTACTGATGTTAGTAAAAAATTTTAAAATCAAAATTGTATCGCTGTAAAACTATGAAACGAAGTTATTTCTTTCCCTTGAACTCAGCTGCCTCGATTCCCACACCAATCTCAGCGAATTTTTTATTGAATCCCATCAATTCCGAGAGAGAAGTGTTTGTTTGTTTAACTTTCGATGAAATTAAAACACTTTCCATTTCTAAAGAATTCTCTCAACCCATCAACTGCGATGAAGACGATATTTTTACAGCATTCGTCGTGATATTCAATCTTTACGAAGTAACAATCATCGTAACTTTTTGTCTATAAACTAGTTTTGAATCGTAGCTTTTAAATTCAATTTAACAAAACAATAAACACTGACATGATTTGGACTGAACAAACAATGTAAGAATGCAAGACAGATTTGAAACGCTGGAACCGATCCACGATGATTTAGCCACTTATCTATTGGAGCTCTTTGCACAACAGAGATATTAAATGCACGGCATGTTCACAAATCCACAAAAATAACCTTCAAGTAGAATATCGAAAATTTTCACTTTTTCAAAAGAAATGTGAACCCTTACGGTCACCGCCGGCTATTTGGTTGTAGTGACAGTTCAAAAAGCTCTATGAGTTATTATTTAGATTCAAAACAAGAGACCAACGTTATGTTCGGAGATTATCATAATTTCTTGTGAGATGCTTGGACCTGTCTCCACCTAATACTGATGCATACACGTTTAAGGTTACACCTACCTCGAGCTGCAGTTCAGATGTGGTCTTGTGTTTCGATTGAATGTCTAATTAAGTAAAAATCTTTTTCGTTTTTGTTCGCTTGATTAGCACGGATTCTCGAAAGCGGTGTGCAATGAATAACAAACCGATATTGGAGCCTCGAAGCAAACAATGGACTGGTGGTTTCGGCAATTAGCCCGCAGAAATGAGGACATTGTTCATCAATGAGTCGACGCAAAGCGGAGATGACGAACAAGACCGTCACTTTATTCGAGATTCTATAAGGAGGCCTCCAGAATCTTGGCCTCAATTGAGTTGCAAGTTTTTTAGTTCGTTATGGTGACTTTTCGATCGAACTTGTTTTAGTAAAAAAATGAGGAAACAAAAGAAATTCGATAATCATCTAGCATGAAGATAAAACGTAATAACAACATTGAGCGTAAAACTCAGAATTTGATACACTAGTATTCACTTTCATCGCAGAGGATTGTGAAAATTCTAAGCTTATAGTGAGTTACATACTTTTTTTTCTGACCAAAGGTCATTTCAGTACTTTATCACTTGATTATGAAAAACTTCCATGGTATTTGACGACAATGAACATGGTTACATAGTGAACAAATAAATTCATCGGTGAAGTAAATTGTGCAACAATTTTTTTTCTGCATGTAGAGAGAAAGCACATTTGCGAACGCGCTGAAGCAATTTCTATGAATTAAGCCAACCAACATAGCGCACATATCAGTTATATTACTTTGGTTACGATTCTAATTGTTAGATGTGACAAAGTGGTGTCATGCATGGCATAATTAATTCTCTAGACTATCATGTTATAGCGATAAAACTGATCATAACTCACCCATAATTGCTGAAGCGGCTATCCACTTTATTCGGCTTCAAAGATGCGAAAATAAATTAACCTGAATACTCAGCTGAGCTCGCCGAATGTTAAAGTGATGATTAGTCTATGTGCATCCAAATACTGTATCAGAATTTTTTTGCAATATAAGATTTGTCAACGAGTGTTGTCATATTAAGCAAGTTTTCTATCCGCAAACTACTCATTTTCACGTTTTCCAGCGTGACGGTCATCAATTAAGTACTCTAGGACACTAAAATCGACGTTTACCACAAGGAAACGAACTGATTCTTGCGCGATGTGATGTAAATTTGTAGAACTAGCAACCTTTCTGCGAAATACTTCAGTTGCAGACATTCACTTTGCATGTATTCCAAATTATAAGCCCTTTGTGGACATAGGCTTGTGCTTATGTCAACGATATGGTTGAAATGCTTTCAAAACTAAGAGTTGTACATTATAATGGAAATACAGTGCTACATTACTGCGTTTGCCTTTTCTTACCACTAGAACAAAAGGCTTCTCATGACAACTTGAAACGGTGCCTAAATGATACTAACACTGTCTAGAAATGCAAACAGCACGTGAATTCAAGGATCCTTCCTTTCATCTTTATGCGTGCGTTTGTATTTGTTTTCAGTTTTTTTTTCTCTTCTAATTTAAGTACTACAAGTATTGCGCGTCTATTTTGGCTTTCAAACACCATTATCGCCTATATATCGACATGATATAACTGTGCTTAACTAAGTTTCTTTCTCAGAGTTTTCACGCCGATCGTTGGAAGATTTTAGGTGCCTGCTGGAAGATCACGAAACTCGATACAAACAAAACAAAATGTCAACTCCACGCTGCTAATTAGAGTTGACAAAAGGAACTTGACCCTGTGTGGTTTTAATTCGTGACGCATGATCGTACTGCGCGCAACCTCTTTCCACCATCCCCTTCCTCTACCCGGCACTACTAATGTTGCATCTTTAGATTGTTCTCAACCAGCAATATGCTCTCCCATTTCCATCATCACTGAGTGATGTTGCTCGAAATTTATAACGACTGATCCAGCCAAGGTCGTCGTCATGGTTACCTCGTTTGACCCTGGCCCTCGTCATAGTTACCTGGTTCGATCGCATCGAACTAGGTACGAACTGCAGAAAATGCGTGGCTTTCGAGGAGGTTCAGATCAAAGAGAAATTTTCTTCAAAGATACTAATATCTTTAGTTGGGTACGTCGCTGTTGATGCACCTCAAAAACTTTAACCTAGTTATTACATTTTATAGTCGATTGCAATTTGCTTTAACCTTCTCTATGTTCCTTAACCATCCGCTGTTGCCAGTCTTAGCCAACTCCGGCCGATCATCGAAAACTCATCTTAATATAATTAGAGTCGAAAGGGAAAAAATAAACGAAGGGTGTTGAGGAGCAGGTAACGGCAGAAACAGAACTCAGAACTTGGGAGCGAGGAGGGGTGAGCTTCCCCTTATACTGTTTGTTTGTTTGTTAGATTAAGTTGTTTTTTTTTTCTAGTCTGTTTAATGGTTTGTTTTATTTTTCGTTTGGTTTGTTTTGTTTCGTTTTATAAATTACTTACGATCTCTCCAATAGCAATACAACATTACACACCAAGAAGTGACTTCACTGTAAAAATAATCCTCATTTTTATGTGTCCCGTAAAATAAGGATAACAAGAACAAATACACCTAAGAGGAAGAACTTAAATTATTACTATACATCTTCTTGTTTATAAAAAACTTTCTCTTTTTCACTTTTCGACATTTACTCAAAGAAACTTCTAAAATATAAACTTAATGAGATACGACCGATGGAAAACATATTTTCTATGGAAAAGTTGTAACTTTCGATTAAAAATTCTTATATTACCTATGTTATGGTCGGACAACATGCATTTGGCATATCACCTATATTAAGAGGAGGAAATATGCATTGAAACAATGAAAATCCTATAAATATTCTGATTTGTCATTTTAAGTGCAACCATCTTCGGCAAAGGGAAAGGTACTATTAACGATATGGATTACATAACTCTCTGATACGTGCCACACGTTTAGGGAGATTGAAATCTTTGGAATAGAGAGATGGGAATATCAAGATTGTTATATGCAGAGTGACACTCGTTAAATAAGTTATATTATTGGTGATCTACCCCTCTATGGCTGTTCTAATTCATGGCTTACGTTGACAGAATTTCCAAGGCCAAACGGGCGTGCTACTTATCAAATATATAACTAAGCGATTTTCTTAAGACAAATAGTTCAGAATTTCATTACATGCAAATAATCTATATTACCTTCGCCATTAAACAAAGCATTCTAGTGATGGTTATCTTATGATTAAATACTCAGGAGGATTACAGTATCATCAGTTATGGTTACTTGGTAATCACACCATAATAGAGGGTCTAATTTTCAAAGTGAGACAGAAGGAATCTTAACAGACCATGATGAACGTCAGCCTACTCTCTTTCTTTTGACCTTGCATTTGTCTCTTGTCAATGGACATTTGTAACTTTTTGCTTTCTTACTGATACCTTAATCTAAGTACCCGAAATGATGGATCTTAGCATCGTTATAAATATTTCGCACTGTTTTTTCAATGGCTAGCTGATATTGTTCTTTCCAAGGGAAACAGGAATAAAGATATGGAAATGGGCATTTTGCGCTAACATTCATTAACAATAACATGCGCTTACCTGTACCGAGTTTTAGTAACTAACGAATAAGTTAATAGTAAATGCATGTCGCTCTTAAACAATTCTGGTCTTTTTTTTCTCTTCTTACTGTTGATGCCATGTCGAACGAGGGCAATGCACCAAATATGCCGCACTGCACCGTTTAAGCCTATTGTTCTCTGATGGTTTCAGATCAATAGTCTGTCATCGGCTCATCCGTTGGTGAAACCTTTGTTAAAAAAGGTAACCATCGTGCTCTTGGGGCGATCAAGCATCGCTGACAATCAGTCTGAAATCTTGCTAAGGATTTCATAGAAAGTCACTTTGTTTGTATTACCTAGCCGGGAGAAAATGCAGTATGTTAAAAAGTGCAACTCACCCTAATTTTATCCAACGTCTGGAGTATTCTTATCCTTTCAAAAAAACCTGGGAAAAATTACTTTTTATAGGTGAAATCCTTACGTACCTACATAGGTCTTAACTTTGGCCTTATCTACCCCACAGCCGAGCATTTTGGAACCTTGGGCAAACAATTGCCATCAAGTCATGAAGTAAAAGATTTAAAAGGCATTCTACGCCATATAACTATGAGGTTACTTCTGACAGACTTATTTAGTGATCTTATCATCGTATGTGTAAAAAGGTGATCACGGGAGATCGACTGTTCCTGCAAATATTAAATCTACTTCCATGACGGCATGAAGGGACTCAAAGAAAGAAGGAGCTATTCTTCCCGCGTTAATGGCCATGAGAACTGCGAAACTATAAAAAATAAATAAATAGAGGGAAATCGCAGTGATGTTTCTTTTTCGTTTTGCGGAGATATCATCATATTTAAAGCAAATTAAAGCATGCAATATTGAAATAAAAAGTACTTTAAATCGGCGTCGATACCATGTCGATGAAAAGTTTGAGCTATAAGCAATTGCCAAGGAAGTCTGCTCTCACCGTTTTCATCAGTGTTGTTGGGTAAATCTCTACTCTCGCGTTTCATGAGTTTGCGGTATCGCTGTATGATACTGCGACGTTCAGTTGACGCTCTCTTCAACGTGGATGGTGCGTCATCACTCATCTGTTCCTCTGACTCAGATTCAAACCGCTGAAAAGTTTGCGTCAGGACAGCAGACTCTACATGTTCTGGAATACTGATGAAAAAGCACAAAATTACGCAAATAATTTAAAATTGATCAGTTGGTTCACAACGAGTTTAAGTTAAAGATCATCAACATTTATGGTGCCAGCTGAAATACTATACATGGTCTCGTCAAGATGTGTGCAAGTGTGTTTGCATTTTTGACAATGCCTTCGACCGTTTTGTTTCGTATTTTTTACTCTAGCCACCACTCCATAATTTTTTCTCTTTTTAATTTTTCCTAATTGTACACCGATTCTTCCTTTCTATCTTCTACAACTTTTTGCTTGATAGCCAGTTATTTCTTCCGCGTATTTACCGCTACTTTAAATTGTTCAAAATCTACTACTTTTTAAAATTGCCCCAAATTTAAAGGTAGTTAATTCTAAATGTATCATCTTGAAGTTGCCTTCAGTCTTTCACCAACTCTGTGCTCCGCAAATAGGAAAGGTTTGCCAAAACTTTGTGGCTTGCATTCTTGTTAGTAAAGTCATCAATCGTGTTTACCTTCCCATGCAGGGCACCAGTCCTTCCTCGAGAACCTTCCCGTCCTTCCTCGCACGCTGAGCCACCCACTTCCAGCTCTGTCTCGCCTGATCGTAATTTGCGCGCGTGTTTATCACGTGCAATGTTTCTCCAACAGTAAAACTTAGTTCGTCCGGAGCCATTGCCTTATAAGGGTGAATTGTCCTGTACGGGAAACCATCATCTGACTTATTGTACAGTTCTATTGAATTGTTAATCTCGTTACCTTGAACTTTGAATGTCACCCAACTCTTTCGAATTGGAAATGTCTACAGGAATATGGTGGATGGGAGAGGGGAATTTTGTCAATAGATACAACATTTCAAAATCACGGCATTTTATTGGCTCCCAGAGGCGTGATTTGCGCCCGTAATTTTGCGCCATTTCTGTCTTCCACGCATTAAACCACCTCGAGATTGTCAAAAGCTAACTCTTTTCACACTTTAACCAGTACAATATCAAGCAGACGAGTAATGAGAATTAAGAAAAGTATCAATTAGGGGATTATTGGTTGATCCAATTCCAAGTTCTCCAAACTAACGTCATATACATACAGTAAGAAGAATCACTTATGAGATCTTGGGAGTTAAAGGGTTAAAAGTCGCCTCTACGCTCTCTATTTACCCACCTGACATAAAGCGAATCGTAGGGTTTGTCTCCAAGGACTTCCTCGTAATCTAATGTAAGAGTAATTGCTTGATTAGATCTGAACAGAATAACACAAACTAACCGATGATTTAGCGATTTAACTTAAAGAAAGTCGATAAATTGGATCACGTTGCCCCTATACATCCAAGAATGATGCTCGTGTGTGAAATTTGAAGGAATGATGAAAGCACGAGAAAAAAAAAAAGTAAAAAAGAGAGAAACAGAGTGACGTTCAGTGAAAAAATTTTGTGATTTGAAGAGCTGAGAGGCAGCATCAAACTTTGAGTAGCGCTGAATTATATTCCCTATTGTGGCTACTCCTAATATTTCCATTTCAGATAATTGTGAAAATTATCAACCAGTTGTTCGGACTGTTCGTCGACGTCCCGGACCTGGCTTTTCCAAACCAGCTGAGACGAAGCGGGACAGGGATGGGAGGAATTGCGCTTCCCCTCCCAAAACGCAGCACGAGCACTTCACTCACGTCCTGAAGCTACTCGACCATTACAACCTTTAATAACAGTAAAGATGATAGATGTGATGTGAGACTTACTTAACACTTGTTGAGCCTCGATTCTGATATACGTGCATGTGCGTAAAAGACGAACAATCCGTGTGGCGTGATCCAGGGTCGCTCTGGTGAGATCGTAACTGTTAAGCTAAAGGGTAAGAGATGCAATACACGAATGTTAAATTTGAGCTCATAGATCAATTCAGCTCTGACTAAGTTTCTCCGTCATTCAAGACATTAAAGTAAATACTCCCTCACAAACAACACACTGACATCAAATAAACTTTTTCATTTTTTATTATTTGTTTATAGAAACACCAAATATAAAACAGGGAGAGAAAAACAATACAAAAAAATTTTCATTTTTTACCTTCAGCAGCCTATCTCCAACTTGAAGGCCAACAGCCTTACAGATTGAGTTCTCCTGCAATTCGATGACGTAAATACCTACACGGTAACCACCAGAGACTTCCACTCCCAGGCCATCCAACGATTTCTTCTCGAACCGCATTATACGAGGACTGGGAAGAGACAAGTGGGATTAGTTACCAATTTTTTTCATTTCCAAGATCTGAAAAACAATTCTCCCTACCGTCTGCTTTACATTTCTAATAATTTTTATCTGAGAATTAAGTACGAAATATAATGATTTCCCCTGATTGATATTTTTCTTTCTTCTAGTTACTTTTCTGCTTGGGAATTAATTGACTTTGTAGGAAGAAATTCATTTTGGTCGTTCTTGGGGTTGACAAGATAAAAGTGAGCAACATACAAACATAATTTTTCCCTGCCTTGTAAAAAATTAACGGACTAACTTTCGTTAATTTTTTAGCACGATTCAAAGAGCATTACTGCTCAAATCTGCTAGTTATATTGAGAGAATATTTTGTTCTTGTTTTGTTTTGTAGTTGCCGAGTTGTAACACGCTGATTAAGAAGATCTGTTTTGTTAACTGGCTTGTGCAACAAACTACTTTGCGAAAAAACTTTGAAGACCGTTACTAACCATTCTAAATCACGATTTCATCTCAAACTATATGGTATTTGAGGATAATTCAGTGATACTCCTTCGAAATGGAACGAGTGAAATATTCGGTTCTTCATACCCTTGAATTTTTTCCTAAAACCAAACCCCGCTTTAAGGCATATGAAGACGGTTTCAAATTAATTTCACACTTGACAATCGCATGCAACATTTTAAGGAGCAGAGGGTCAGTGTCGTGGAAGATCTTAATTCTAATTACCTTCTTCCCAGTGGAACAATCGCTCCACATGTAGAGGATTTCGATAAGTTAGAAGTCAACCCATCATCGTCCACGCGAACAGCAGTGATGGTCGACTGAGCCCGCACTAATGTTCCATCTGCACCCATCGGCGTCAAAAACGTTCCCGACTGCAGTTGCGACGTGCTAACAAACTTTCGGTTCATTGGTGATCGAATGTTGGGTTTTAGAGTGCTATGATTATGCGAATCGCTTTCCTTTGCATCCGTGGAAGTCTGAGAATCGTTCCCAGTCCCTACGTCCGGCCAATCATCTGCGACAATCGTTTCTAATTGAGTGTCAGACGAAGGGCTGTAGATGGTCGTTGGAGTTCGATGCCGGTCGGGCATAAAGAGGCCATACCCAGTGAATCTGTTGCCATAGAGATCCGAGCTCGAGTCAGCCAGAGACGAATCATTGTTTGAGCTCATGGAGCCAAGGCTTGAGTTGTAAGAAAATTTGGAGTCACGTGATATTGAGCTGTCATTTGATATGAGTGACAGTCGGTTGTCGCCATTACCGCGTGAGAGGCGTCTTAGTACGACAGTGTCAGATTCGGAGTCAGTATAACTCGTCGGCTAAATGGAAGCGAGAAAAAAAATGTGACATAAATCGTAAATTTTATCGGTTGTAAAATAACGAAGAAGAAAGCCTCGCCTTTTAAACGAAGTCGAACGAAAGCGGAGAGTTTAGAAGATGCTTCAAGAAACAAAAGGAGCGTGAAAACGAGTCAGAGTTTCATTGTTCATGTTGTTAACGTCAAAAAGGCTACTAGTGAAAAAGATCGCAAAACTGATGAGTCGAAAATTTCTTGAAATTCGTTTCCCTTACATGAACCTACAGCACACTATTCAGCTTGCTGACAAGAATAAAAGTTCGCTGTATCATCTGAACGCGAAATCGAATCTGGCTGTGGTTCGAATTCTCGCTTTTCTTTTTTGTACCACGCTCGTAATAAAGGTTTTCAGAAATCTCTTTTTATCTTTCCATTTTACATCCAAAAAAAAATCAATACCACAAAGGAGAAATAGATCTTACTGTACCTTGAACTCACATGCCATAGGTTTTCCTGAGATCGTTCTAGTGACGTGAAGCTTCAGTTTGTCTCCAGACTTCTTGGTAACCTTTTCCAACGAGGAAGCGATTATCTTATCAAGGTGTTTTCCATTGACCTAGATGAGTAAACAGGACATGAATGGTAAGATTTCAATGCAATGAGTGCAATGTTTAATTGTACAATAATAATACCCCGGGACAAATTTTTCACTTTTGCCCTTTTATACTACAGGACTACAGCTCTCCATATGACATTTTACTAAGCAAAGTTAACTTAAAATCTCTATTCATTAGACGCCTCCAGAACTTCGTGATCACGTTATATGAGTCTGTTATTTACAAATTATCCAAGTTATTTAAAAGATATGTTCACCGTACGGTCTTCATCCTACATTTTGGGCGGAAATCATATCCTGACCCTTCCCAACCCAAAAACAACGACTTACGGTCTACACTCTTTTTCATACGTAGCTAGCAAAATATGGAACTCTCTCCCAGACACTTACAAAACATGAAATTTTTCAAGAATTCAAGCAGGAGATCCTCATATACGAAGCTTTTCCACGGTAGATCTACAAGTTATATTTCCCTCTGCATGCATAATGTTGTATATAGTTTATAAATAATATTGGAATTGTAATATAGCATATTTTATTTTATTTTAGCTTTTTTTCTCCAAGATATTAGCTCTACAGCTACACTGTGAATTTCGAGCACAAATAAAGTATATGTATGTATGTATATGTATGTGGGCGCAGAATGTTAAAATTTAAATTAGTTTTAGTCAATACCTTCATGACGTAATCTCCAATTTTCAGACTGTTCTGATCCTCTGAAATAAAACCATGCTTTAACTCTTTTACATATAACCCACATTCGAAACCAAGACCTAGAAGATGTAAACAAATAACTGTTTAGTCCGCATCACATTTAAGGAAAGTTGTGAATCTCTGTCAGAGTTAAGTTTAGCGATGTTATGTAATAAGGACTGAGTAAGCAGGAGGAGAGTAAAGGTATGGGATATCTGTTTGAATTCATACCTTACAACCTTTAAAACAATTCATATGCACACAGAGTAAATGAAAATATGTGAAAATCATATACGTGAACTGCAGTTGAAGAAACGAATAAGGAGGCGATCCTCGCAGTTATAAACACTAATTAAGTAATTGCAAAAATAGGACCTAAAAGATTCAGGCCTGCACGGGATTTGAACCCATGACCGGTGCAGCGCTCTACAAACTGAGCTAACAAGCCAATTGGGAGCTGGTTATTATGTTTAGTTCAAATAAACCCACAAGGTGGTGAATAAATGACTGTAAACATATGAAAATCATATATGTGAACTGCGGTTGAAGAAAAGAATATGTAAGCGATCGTTGCAGTTATGAACACCACTTGTTTTGGGCAATTGTCTCTCTTTTTCAATGGAAATCATTCCTTCAGTAATGTGCGCGAAATTGCAATTACTGCACATAAGTGAAGTCTACTTTATATAAAAAGATGACTACTAAACTTACCGACTTTAGATTTCTTCGGTGCTTTGAGGTCCAAGTCAAAGCTTAACTGGTATGTCCCAATTTGCCGCTTGAGAACCTGAGAAACGTCATAAGCAGAACGATGAATAACTCACAATTACTTAATGTTTGTATCAAGGGGTACAACATTGGTCATATGGTTTGTAAATTTTCCGTTCCTTGCACTTTGCCTTTCTTGCCACGCTCTGCAGCACAAACTCGACACTAAATATGACAGATGTTTCCCTATTACTCAGCAATCTCACACAGAAGGGGGCGCACAAATTACCCCCAGGCTCACCATATTGAGTGTGGTAAGAGCTCCATCCAGTAAAGATCTCACCAGGTTTTGGTCACCCTCTGTTACTGGAATATCGTTGATGGAGACGATCTCGTCATATTTTCTAAAAATTAAAAAAATAATGTTCATCAGCCATTTTACTTTTCTTCTCGCAACAAAGTATACTATAGTGCTAGAATTCGCATCAATGGAAAAAAAAACATTAGCTACCTTTAGTCACTGTGCTTTATGCCTCTCGTGAGGTACACAACATGATCCTTCAAGACGTAAGGAGGGCACTGTTTCATAGTATTTTGTTCTCACATTCCGACTGACAGATTTTGATCGATTCTTTATTTTGTGCTCTTAGAAGTTCGTTTCGATTATAATTAATAGCACCACTATCACCAAAAAAAAAAAAACTTTGATTCTGAAACTCGTAAGTTCGTAAGTTATTGAAAGATGCAGTAACATTTCATCGTTCAATTTCACAATTCAAATGTTCCGTACGAACGAGCTGCGTGCACCTCCTTTCCTTATACCTTTTTGACAATTTGAAATTCTTTTTTTTAACACCAGAGTACAGCGTCTTTCTTTACTTCCTGTTTTTAACCTCTCGAACTCGAGGGGTTTATGGGAACTAACAACCCAAAGGCAGTGGAGCCTTAATGGGTTGGTTAAAAATGTAGAACACCGATGAAAAGAAGATTTTAAAATCTATCTATCAATAAACTACGTGTAATCAACTAAATCAGTCGAGCAATAAGCTAAATATAAGCATTAATTACCTTATGTTCCTCACGCTCCCTAAACCCTTGTCAACATCAATTATCGCGGTAAAAGATCTTCCATTCATGGAAACTCGGGCCAATTTGATAGAGTCCAATGGATCATCCTAAATTACAAAGAAAAATACCATTCCTTACTTCTTTTTCTGGCCTTTTCGTAATGAAGAACGCATGTTATGTCAGTCAACCCTATAAACCCTAAGAGTGACCAGCATCTAACTTCTCCTCACGGTTTTACTGCTGAATCATACAATAAGATCACGAGAATTAAGGAAATGATCCTCAACCTAACAAAATTATATAACTAATCCTAATCATTAAAATTTCCTCAAATGCGATTGGTGCATCAGCTGCTTTATATATCACTAATCACTCTGTACAGTTATAATCAAACAGTTGTAATCGGACAGCTAGCTGTAATCGGACAACTATAATCGGACAGTTGAAGCAGCTAATCATACTAGGTCCACTCAGCTGAATCCACCAATCATAGAGTTGATCACAATAACCATAGCAACAACCACTTATCCAAAGAAAAAAAGGCAATTTCCAAAATGAAGGAATTTTGAACTAAAGACATTGTCTCCACTGGAGATATTTGTTTTAGGCGTATTTGTTTTTTCGGAAATTGAAATGGTTATGATTAATTGAAAACAGGATTTCTTGTCGTTCAATTCTGTCTGTAATCATACTTGTGATAAACAAATCGGACTCCCGCTTCGTGGTCGTCCAATTTTGTTCATCACTCGTATGATTACAGACCGAATTGGACTCCACTCGGTCCTATTACCATTATTAATCAAATTCTCCCAGTCAGTACTAAAGGAAAGGTTTGTAGAAGAGTATGGAGAATATGGATACTGATATTACTTTGTGAAACGCTAAAAATCTGCGGGAAGCATTTTGGCCTCCAACGTCGTTTCTTCTGGTACTTTACCGCTCCATACCACAATGACATTCATCGTCATTGCCTTCAAATCAGCCTGACAACAATTTTAGTGCCTTCCAGACAAGCTGATATCAAGCCTGCCTATGTTACATGTACAACCAGAGGTGCTCACATATCAACAAACCTTTTCTAAAGTTACACGAATTTCTTCACTTTCGGTGAATGACGTCTCTGGAGACTAAATGAAAAAGAATATTAGAAATTTTCAAATGGCAATAAAGGGCATCAAATATACTGGTTAGGCATCAAATATACTGGTTAAGGTCAAATTTTATATCACGAAGTAGGGGGAAAAAGGAGATCTGTCTCGTTGACATTTTTTTTTTTTTGGCTTCAACTACGCCTTCATTGACATTGCATAAGGAAGATGATAAACTATTACCTCAAGTCCTCCACCGGAATCACCCGCGCAAAATTTACACTCCTTGAGAGAACACGGAATTGACAGTTCACTAGTGTTGTTCGCACTCAAACCGGTTTTTGCTAACCGGTTCAGCAAGTGATTATACTCCTCTTTCAGTTTTTCTAATTGTTCTGCGGTGGAAAAACATTTTTGTATTGCTTCGTCCCTAGCTTGAACAATGCAAGCAATCTCCCGATGTAACCTCTTTCGTTCCTTCACAGACTGCCTCCACTGTTCCTTCGCATGGTCTCTTTCTCTCTTAAAAGTCTCTGACTTCTCCTCTAGTGATGTTACTCTAGCGTCCATTTCAAAATTTCGTTGCTGAGCCTTTGTGAGTTCAGTGCTCAATTTTCTTACAGATTGCGTGTTCTCGGATCTGTCCCTGAAGGTAATATTTTCTTCTTCTTCTATGGAGTCATTTGAATCTTGCTTCGTGACTTCGATCTGCTCAGATAATAAAGATGTCTCCTGCTTGACTCTCTCTAAGGCTTCCTCTTTTCTCTTTAGCTTGTTGGTAAGATCATCGCGTTCTGCTTTCACCTGCAAACAGAATGTAACGAAAACTTATAAATAACTAACAAGGATGATAACAAATGGATGACAGACCGACTGACTGAGTAATGATCAAATGACTGGCTGACAAACCCACAGATTGACTTTGCGAATGACTGACTGCTTGACTGGCTCCCTGACTGACTGACCAACTCATCAATGGATGGACTAGCCCACATGCTGCCATATTGACTCATTAATAGTCAATTAATTGCAAAATTAATTCACTGACGGAATGACTGGCTGGGTTCATGACTAGCTGTGTAACTGACTGATTAACTGACATGGTTATTGGACTAGTCATCGTGATGGTAGGCAAATAAGTCACTAACTGACCGATCAATAAGTGTGCTACATGCAGACCCTCAATTGAACACAAGTCGTTCTAGATTTCTATACAACCCTTTTTCAGATAAAACTTTACGTATTTACATTTGTACCAACTGAAAGGGGCTTAATGAGGTGCTCACATAGGTTCCTGACAAGTTAATATTTGTTCGCTTCGCTATTAGCCTCTATATTAGAAAAAGGACTGCCGCATGCTTCCAATCACCTCAGGGAGATGTGGGACGTAACCCAAAGAATAAAGAGAGAACCTTTGTCTAAGATCTTCCGATACTTAAACTTAACTTGGAGGGCTATCATGAAAGACTTTTTCAAGCTCTCATTGATTATGCAAGTCTAGGCTACCGTAACTGGAATTTTTACGAGTACCTTGGCTTAATTACACTTCTTATCTTTTTTACAATTGATCTATCTATTTTTTTTTCAACATTTGATCAACAAATTGCGATGATATCATTTGCTCAAGATTCATTTTTGGAAGTTTTACATTCAGGCTAAAAATTTTGGTATGCACAAACTTGTTGCGACAATGAGTTTGTAACCAAACCAATCTACCATGATAAAGCGATCACAAACTGTTAGTATAATTTTGAATCAGTCTCGCCATCTAACGATATATAACTCATCCAATACGAAACGTGGTAACATATTGAAACTGAAACGCATTGCACTTCAAAATAAAAACCTAACTTTTCATATTATACATCGAAAGTTGTGCGTGCTTTCTTCCAAGCATCGTTGCATGCCGAAAGGAATCCCCCGCCGAAGGCAAAATATCAAAAGCCACAAGACCTTACTTTGCACAAAGGAACAGATCGCGCTGTATTCACACTCTTTCAAAGTGTCATTAACAAGAGTACATGATAAGATCTGTTAAGCAACAATACAAATAGGTTTTGCTCTGCTTAGATCGTGAGATAATTAATATGTAAGAGCAACAAATTAGTCATTCTATTGTGAAATTCATTCTTGTGGTATAGTCATTAACATACTTTAAATTTTTGTGGCGTTTGTCATGACATCCATCAAAGATGGTCTACAAACAGCAAATACAAGTGACATTGGAGGTTCGGAATACAAACTGACTGTACAGTTTTGAACTAAACATGGCGCAGAGTCAACTAGAAAGACGCGTTTTCGAAAGCCGAGTAAAGAAAAGAACCTACTGGGGCCTACTCTAGCAAAGCAAATGATCATGTTGATAATTTTATTTCTAAACATTGGAGCGTTCTGTACGTGAGAAGATGCAGTACCGGTCTAGTAATCAGGACGTATCTGTGGTTTTTTAAGAATAATTAATTTTTCACGACGGCCATTTTCTGAACGGTGCAAGCGCACATTTTGTGCCCAAAATTCCTTCCCCCCTTTGCTCAAAGAAAACCGCGCGACCATTGCATACTTCAAACATCACCTAAAGTGTTTCTTATATTCGTTTGAGAACAAAATGGCAGATAATGAAATAGGGAAACTCTATAACTGTGTAAACTTCTAAGACTAGCTTTCTGGTTGGAGAAAACGGGCTCAATAAACTTTCCTCGCCAACTCTTTTGAGACTGTTGAACCTTTTGGACACGGTTTGATCATTCAGTTATTTCAATATAATCAGTATTTGCAAGTTCGACCACTACTCCTAATACGTTGTTACATTGTGGTTTCACTGTTATTTCAAACGCCATAAGATAGAATAAGAAACAGCTATAAGCATGAATAAAACGCCTCATTTTCTCTCGGAAAAAATACCCGTGGTAGTGCCATTCTTAAGACAAGCAGTTCTCTCTGGTCTAAAATTCATAACCAAAAACACCCTGGAGAGAGATCTTTGATTCCTCTATCATAGAGTCAAACCCACCTCTATGCCATCATAACTTTCTTAAGTTGCTTCTTAACGTAATCAACCGACTCAGAGGGACTTGACTTTAAACTGCCTCGAATGCGCGCGTGTCTGTGTGATAACACGCGCGCATCACACGCAAACACACACATGGTTTAAAGAAATCTTACCTTATTCATTTCTTTTACAAGGGAATCTAACTGGTCCAACGTATTCTCCCATTTACCCGTTGCTTTTCCCCATTCCTCGAGTGCTCTGTCCTTTTCTCTAACTGCCCGATTCCTTTGATCAATAACTGTTGCAAGTTCTTCCAAAGCGACCTCTTTCTCAGTTTGTGCAGAAATAAGCCTTTTCTGAACGTCGTTTAAAAAGTTCTGTTTATCCGCATCACCACCAGAAAGAGCGTCGTTCAGATTTTTGACGTACTTCCTCAAAGCGATGGCCTCCACCACAGCTTTGATCCGAGACTGTTTCAAACGTTCGCACTCCTTACACGAAGAAGTCTTCTGAAGTGGAACAGCGCTTGCTTGAATGGTGGTCTCGAGGTGTTCAACTTTAGAAGGAAAAATCACATTGTCCTTTGTCTCCAGAGGTTCTAATTCAAGGTCACTATACGACATTCGAGTTATTTTGTCGCTTGCGTCCACCTCGCAGTTATCAAATTCTTTCTTTATCTTCGTGCTCAACAACTCTTTCAAATTTTCGATCTCTCGCTCGGCTTCCTTTAATTTTTCGTGAGCATCCACCAGATCCTTGTTCATTTTATCACACTCGTTCACGGCTTTGTTTTTCTCGTCTAAAAGCTGCGCATTGTGATCCCTAAGGACAGTGACTTTTTCATTATCTGATATAGAAATGGCCGAATTCCTCTTATCGTCTCCAGCGGGCTGATCTTTATTTGTCTGCTTGCGTCCGCTCAAAGACATCGAGCGGAATAAACGAGAGGACGTTTTTCTCTCGCGCTCGCCTGGTGTAGATCTCTTTGGCATCTCGTTGGATCTTATTTCAAAACAACTGTTTCGTTTGGACGCATCTAGAACAGAAAAGCAGAAACCCAAAGGGCTTTTTAGTACGGTAACTAATAAGGCTTATTCTTGACCTACGGCAAATTATTGCAATGACATCGCGTGCGTGGTTAGCGAGCAGAAAAAGACCCTACTCTCTAGGGTACACTGCGATCAATTCTAGTGGTGTTTGTTGTGGTGATATTATCATACTCTACTGCGTTTATACTTTAAGGTGCGACTACTAACGGGTGAAATAAAAATTTAATGAATTAACGACACTGAACCAATATTTTGCTGCGCAGATTTATTAGCTTTGACAACATGCGCACAAATCCTTACCAAATCCTGCCTATTCACTAAATGTCATGTTTCCGAGAGAATGAAGTCAGTTTGTGTACGAAAGCTGCTGTTTCGCAAACAAATTCGACTCCAAAGAAAATCATAACAAACGAGGTTGTAACAAAGAGCACCTAAAGTAAACAGCAGGATTATTTCGCTGTCTGATAAATAAGTTCTACGGAGCATACACAAGAGTAATTCGCGGGCTATATATCTCATATCTTGGGTGCTTACGAGGCTTTTACGTTCAATACCGAGGAGTAAGGGTCTGATATAACCAATACCGCGGCTTTATGAAGTTTAAGCTACTTTAAAAATAACGAGATACCGTGAAATCTACGATGACGAACAAAATTGAGTTTGAAAACACATATCTGACCTTCCGTACCGAAGGGGTAAAATAATTGTCACTTGTCAGTTTTGCTTTTCACTTAATTCACATTAACTTTCGATTCTGCCTCAGCGTGCGTCACGCTTTTTCCCACGAACGGGTGATCTGAATTGCTGCTTCGATTTTAATTCTTTCCGTCTATGTTTATAAGCTGCACCCGTTCATGAATGACAACCAACTGCGACTCAATTAGGAACAGCAGCAACTATTCAGAGAAACAGATGTAAATATGAATGATGGGTCGACGCATCGTACTGACACTAAAGACCCAATCTTGTCTTTGTCGAATTCGCTTCTTGTTTCTGGCGAAAATTTTTAAAATTACGAAGTTTTTTTCAATTAAAAATCAAAACACGAGTACCCTGATAGTTCAATACGTTATCTGTGCATTTGCATAATGGAGAGCAAAAATTTTCCGTAAACCCTTCAGACCAAGTGATTTTCAATTTCATTTTCCATCGACTAGAAACTTCGATGTAGGTCCTTTCATAGAAGAAAGCGCAAATTCACCGGCTAGAAACATAGGCCTGATCTTAAGAAAACCTGAAAGCTCGTTGCTTTTTGACACGTCATATTGTTAAAGAACAAAAAGGCATCTCAAAATTTTCACATATCGTGAATCATTGCTTTCCGCGCTGGGCGTAAATCGTAAATGACAGGCAAAACATAAACAGCAAAACACAAACCTGAAAGCGCAGATTCCAGCTTCACCAAGTTAAACATTTGATCGATATTTCATACAATAAAATCCAAAAACATCAACCATATATATACTGATCAATCGTGGTAACGAAGTTCACAGAAGGCGAGTAATATTATAGCCTGCATTTGTTACCTCTTCAAATGTCAGCTGTACATTGGGATTATTCAAGAGTTTTATAACTTAAGCCTCCTTGTCGGAACTGTCGATTATTCAGACAAATTTAACCACGTTTTCATCGGTGGCAAGTGAGGGACGTTTTTGTAAATGATCGATTTGAAACGAGCCGAGCGGCTACCGTCTCGCCCTCGACGGTAAAAGCGCATACAATGGTATTGAACAGGAAATATCGGACGACTGTACTCAAAAAAATTTAGCGACTGGTTGCGCCGACATGTCTCGCATAGCTTACAAAACTACGCCCGTGCAATGCCATTCTTTCATGCGGTTTTTCTAAATCATTTCAACTCACCTAAATCGAAGTTGTCACACCAATGAGAGGTGAAGATAGATTACTCTTGAGAGTAGTGCTCGAAGTCGTTCGACAGATTTTGCTCAACAGTATTGTAGCCAAAAATAACCACAGTTGAAGCGCTGTATTCGAGAGGAGCTCGCGTAATTAAAACGTGCTTATGGCCCAAACAATCCCACTCATCGGTGATGCGAAGGATATTTTTACCGGCGAACAATACGAGTGGAGATCACAGTTCATTGCGCTGAGGGTACCGCGTTGAATATTCATGTTTTGTCGGTAGCGTCGGATGTGCCTTATGCTAATTGAAAAAGGCTCCAAAGTCAATACGGCAGGTATTGGGTGTCACTTTACTGGTCTCAGTTGTATATGGTTATTTATAAAGGTGTCAACAAATAGGTCCCAGTCATTACTTTCCTTAGGGATTTTTTTAAGGCTGTGTAACGAAAGACTTCCCTGTGGTCTGAATTTAATTAATGTAACCTTTTACACCGCTAATATTACTATCCATGTTCTCAATACTTTTTTATCTTCTTCCCTTTGCTACCAACAAGGAGAATTCCTTGAACAATCAAATCCTTTTAGATAAATTAGCGATCATTTCTCTTCTCTCCTGCTCTTAATAAATAATTCAGCAGTATTACTGTAAGAAGATATAAGATGTTGGTTACTCGCATGGAGTTAATCCTTAAGAAGTATTTCCAATGGCGAAGCATATGAGAGCGGACCTAAATGATACTAGAGAAACCCACATAACACTGATCCATTCCCCACCTCTGTCACCGAAAAAAAAAAAATTAAAAGTAATAAGTGGGAAAAAAGAAGTTAAAAATCAAAGGGGGAGAAAGAGACCGGTTCCCATTTCCAGTCACCCCTCCCTTGTCAGGGGTGATTCCACGCTAACTATTAAAACTCTCAGATCAAACTTGTAATTTTTCCAGTACGGTTAACTTTACAATTCTCATAATGTTACTTCAGAGAATTCAGTATTAGATCAACTAATTATCCCCAAAGTGATCTTTTCTTTATTCTCATCACTTATCTGCTTGATATTGTATTGATATTGTTGGGAGAAATTCTGTCTTGGTCAATAAAGGGTTAAAAGAGGGTCTTATGATATTAACCATTAGCCGTAAAACGGCCAAAATTGTAACCTTCAGCCGTAATATGGCCAAAATTTCAACTGACAGCCGTAAAATGGCCAAAATTTCAACCGTTAGCCGTAAAATGGCCAAAATTTCAACCGTAAGCCGTGAGAGCTATCACTCTATGAAGACCCTCTTAAATGAAAAGAAACACCGTTTAGCGTTGTTGAATTCAGTTGATAGGCCTGAAAAGGAAAGCTTTATAAAAGATTCTCTATTCGATCTGTTTTTTATCTTCTTTTAAGTCGAAGATTACAGTTTAAGACTCTGAATAAGCTTTAAAGAAACTAGTGGGAAAATCGGGGCTAAACAAACAAACCTGAGAATATAAGGGAAAGACTTTTAGAAGGGCCATAAGCCATACCCCACGCAGTCGAATAGGAAGGATCAAGCAGTTCTTTCTTCTATGATACACGTAAGATATGTGATAAGTCTGATACTCCAAGGTTTAACTCGGAATTAAGATCATTTGGAAGAAATACACCAGTTGATAAGGTAGTTATGTTGTTGTCTTAATTAGCTTGCAATGTAATAGCGGGATCTTTATAACAAAGGAAGATTCTGCTGAGAGTTAATCGGATTTTGTCTTAGCGAATAACAGCGAGATCTCACAAGCGGAACCGTCGAGCTCAAAAATACGAACATTTTTGTGAGTGATAAAATCAATAGGTAAAAAAATCTCATTGCTATGAACTAGGTAATTAAGCAGTAGAGATTTACCATTTGAAATTATTCCTTTGATGCTCTGTATTCAAGCTAAAATTTTCTTCACGAGCAATGGCTTCGTGTTGTTTGGTTGATTACTTCCTAGACCTTGTTCTGTCTTCAGCTCAGTGTGCTTGCTTACTTGGAGAACTAAGCCGTTTAGTCTACCTTTGTGGCCGGCGTGATCGATACTACTCACTGAAAAGAATTTAAGGCTCTAAGAGCGCCATGTATGTATTAAAGGCGCTGTGGCCGACACCTGCGCTTTCCACGTTATGTAAAGCCGTTCAAATAGACCTGCAAAAGTAGCTCGTCTCCTCCAGGAAAAACGCATCATCAAGGAATAGTTAAATTGAGTTGCACAGTAAGAACGAAGTAATCGACACAACAGTGGCAAATTGCCCACAAATAAAGCACCCTCTTGAGAAAGCTTTTCCAGATCTTTCCATCAAGCGGATTGAGAGGCCATAAGGCAATATCACATAGTGAATTTTGTAAAACATCGTTTTAACTGATAAAGAACTTGTCATAACAATATCAAACCCCATGGCTTTTATTTTCAACCCATTCAACCCTGTAAATCCATTTTTTACTTTACACACAGGGCCGAGGCCATTAATCCTTTTGGAAGAAGACCCTCAACTAAAACCCAAACGAAAAAAAAGGGGAAAAAAGTACAGAAATTTTGTGCCACTTAAAGCACTCTGTTACTCAAGGCGTATGATACACTTGACGCAACCCGTTCCCTCCTCCCCTCAACTTGGATCTTTAGGTCTGCGTCAATATCGCCAATCCATTGCAACCACCTTAGTCTAGCTCTAGTCTGTACGAGTTATTCTTTTGTGTAAGTCTAATGAGGTGAACATAATAACGAAAGGTGACCATCGTTGCTAAGTGACCGAGTAGCAGACAAACTGTTGACTGCAGATCGCGTGATTTACGCCTAACTGGGTGCAGATCAAACCTCGACCTCAAAACCTTAAGTCTGATAACATGTTTAGTGTCTAGAAAGAGCATCAATTCTTACACAAATGTAAAAGCTCTTACTCTTGAAAAAAGACGCCCTGCTTTTAATTCTTAATTCAACACTACAAGTGCGACGATTTTGCACCAATCGAGGTAACGTTTATTAGCCCACGTAACCTCGTTAAGCAGCAATTAAGAACGTAAGGGCAACATATATATTGCAAAAGAATATCCCTTTCAGTTCGTCGCGCGAAATCCGTAGAAAGAACGGCTTAGACTTTCTTGGCAGGTTTTGATAATTTCAAAATAGAACAGGGTTTCAGACATATATTTACATGGAATTCTCTCAGCCAACTGTTAATTACTTGAACCAGGTTACCGAGATCCAGGTGGTACGTACCTTTGCCAGATTGCGATAAGATTCGCCCAAGCGATGATGAAAGATTACGTTTTTTTTCCTTGCTTTTTCAAAACTCCAATCGAAGTGATGAGCAGACATTGCATACGACCGTCAGTAAATAACATCAATCAAATGGTAGATTATGCTCACGATAACCATACGATAACATTTCTGGTCGTTCCGGTTCTGTAAACGATAATCGATATCCGCCTCTGCCAGTCAGATAAGGCGCTCAAAGGGCAGTAAGGCTGGTAAGTGGGTGGAGTGCGTAATGCAAGCCCACTTAAATAGTTCTTTCAGCATTTACTTCATTTCCGATAACATGATTCAAAAATTAAATTGAATATGCTGAACAATAACGCGTACATGCAGCGTCAATTAGCCCCGCACGAAAGCCATGGAAATCAAAACATTTTCTTTGCATGTCATGCAGAGGTATAAAATTAGCAAACGCTGTTCTCGGTGCAAAAATACTACCATTACATATAAATACATCTACCACCTACACGCACCACTCCTGTAAGGTAACTCAATCTTTGCTAAGTAACGAGTAGGTTTAACTAATCATTACTATTTTTACAAACCAGGGCAGTACAGCGTACTTTGTCTCAAATGACCGGCAAGTCTAGAAATGAATACTATTGAAAAACTGCTCATAATTAATCCTTTCAGAACGACCCAATCAAAAAAACCTACAGTTATCACGGCACGCCTTGTTTTCCCTATCATTTTTACCAGTAAAAACCATATCATCTTTCACGATCATTTTTTTCAATGGCGGGTGCAACATGAGAGGTTGGGCGACTAAATAATGCCTCGCTCTCGTGTACTTCATCTACTTCCTGTTGTACATTGCAGTACATACCTCACGTCCTCAACAGGGATAGCCACGTGCCACGTGGCTACATCCCAGTGTGTTGCATAACAGAGGGGTTTTAACATAATCGCTGCCTTTAGAAAAGCAATTTTCATTAAAAATCAATCTCATACTTCTTCCTAAGACAATTTTTTTTCAACTTGTGTTTTCTCTTACCGTAGTGTATTTCGCCGGCCAAGGGTGATGATTGAATAGCTTTTGTATGGATGTTCTCAATAATTCCAACACTGTTCGATCTTCCAAGAGCTTGTTTTTTCAACTCAGAAGCAGGGGAAGTAGAAGCTGTAAATCAAAGAGAGAATTGTGTTATAAAGTATTTTAAATCGACATAGTCAGGCCGGTGATAAATATAAAAGATAAAAAAATTATAGTAAGATCACAAAGAAACTTCAAGTTATTTCAGTTTTTGAGAAAGCTTTTTTTTTTAAACCATTATTTAATGGATTTCACACGTTGGTGAATTTCGTTCCACTATGTTGGACAAAATATATATTGTCATAGGCTCCATGGTTTTTCGAGATCAATAACTGAACAGATGCAGCTTTCAAAATATTTTAAGAAAAGGTGCGGATGCGTATCATGGTGAAAGAAGGAGCCCTTATCTTCTAGGATATAACAGACTCCGCAATTAACTTAGTTTAGCAGCGTGCCATCGAGATGACCACGTAATAACAACAATGATCGAGGAGGCACCTAGCCATGAATTGCTTCTCTAAGTTTTGACATCCAGAATAAAGAAAAAAGCTAGACTAATTTTGTATTCTCAAGGAACAGGGAAAAAAAGCTACATGATAAGAGTTTTCTGGTATGCTGATTCGATTAACGTTTGTCATAACAATTGTGATTGATAAACACATAATTATAAACAGAATGTTGTTCAGGTAACCAATTATCTTTTAATTAGAGAATTTCAGATGTTTTTTTTTATATCAAATTCTGCTTTTGCGTGTTTTATCAATATGAAAATAAGAAGCGTGAGAAGTGTATTGCCAATTATCTTTTAATTAGAGAATTTCAGATGTTTTTTTATATCAAATTCTGCTTTTGCGTGTTTTATCAATGTGAAAATAAGAAGCGTGAGGAGTGTATTACCAATTATCTTTTAATTAGAGAATTTCAGATGTTTTTTTTATATCAAATTCTGCTTTTGCGTGTTTTATCAATGTGAAAATGAGAAGGGTGAGGAGTGTATTATTGATCACTTCCAAACCTATCCATCCCCTCCTCCCAAGCTAATGTAACCCCCAACCTTTCTATACCCAATTCCGTTTACTAAACCACGCGATTATTAGGTGTACGGTGAAGGCGCCAAACAAGCTGACTATCCAACAGAGTGGAATCGACGGGTTAAACCAAGATAACCTGAGACACTCTGAGATAAAAACCCAGACACACTCTGAGATAAAAGCCTTGACACGCTCTTTAGTGTTGGAACAATTAGCGTAACAGGAGTTTTATCAACCGTCCGTAACGAAAAGCGATAAAGGTTTAACCTTAAATTCGATAGCTCAATGTGGACTTCGATTAGTCTGCCCTATGCCATGTAACACAAGCAGATTGCGTCGTTAACCGCGTCTCAAACTCGACTTACTGGATATAATCACTTTGAATGCAGTCACTTTAAAGAAGCCCTATTTTTGTGGTCTAGTTTAAAAATTATGCCACCAAGATAAAAGAGATGGAGGGCCTTGCTAATTAGGCGCATTCACCCGTCAGAGGCAATTTCCGCTGTGTTGTTGCCTTCCCCGCCAGCTATCTGTTATCGGAAATACGAAAAGGAAAAGACAAAGAAAATCATGTCCCGTAAAATTCCTTCAGTCCGATATCTCCACCCATGACTTCAAGAATTTGTTGGTGTTAGATAAGTTTGTCAATCATCGTAGGAAACAAAGTAAGTTGAAAGGAATTTTGGGACGCTCCGCAATGAAATCATTGTATAAATATCGTACCGTGATAAACCGCTAATGATGTGTGCTGTTCCAAAGACATTGAAACCTATCAGATTCACGCCTATAGGTGGCCAAACGATTAGGCAAGTCACGAAATTTAGAGATAATTACAAAATAAAAATTAACCAAAAAAGGGAAGAAAGTATCTACGATCTCTCTAAAGGCTGCTTGTAAAAATTATTTTTCCCCATTAAACTCCGTGAAATTGGCGCTCATTATACATAATAGTAATACATGTAGTTGCAGTCATTACATCTTACTAGAGAGTTAGGCTTATAGTTACATTTTGCGTCGTGCGCTTTCAATCAATCCAGCGAAACTGGTTAGCGATTGGGAGAAAAGGGGAGAGCGATTTTTTCTTTTCTGCTAAACGAAAGCTTTAAGGGCACTTAGGCAGAAGACACGCAATTTTTTTCTTCTTTGTGGGAGAATCAAAGGACGATGAAAGAAAGGCCATTCTCGAAATCTCGTGTACCATTGTCTGTGAAAACGATGCAATTTATAAACAACTACTTACAAATAGATGTCAGTTGTGAACAAACTTACCAGGGAAAGGAGCATAGCCATAAATGCTTAACAGCAAACTGCCTTGCTTCAGATTATTTGCATTTGGATCGCTTGTAAGCGGGCTACTATCCGCTGAAACGCTCATCTCTGGGCGAAGAAAAGATGCTTCAATGATCACTTGAGTCGAACGCGCGTCATTTACAGTTCTTGTTGATAAAATTCTTTTGAGACCTCACGGTGGAAAACTCGCATGGAATCGACACTTCGCTGTCACCGCTGACTAAAGCATATTTCCCTTTGTTGACCTTTTCAAATACTACGTGGATTCCTGCAGCAGAGTGAAACATAATACCTATGCATTTTTAAGCGTCCGTCGACCTTCATCTGCCCATCTGACCTTTCGTTACCGGTATATGACGTACATATACTACCCGCTCGTAGATAAACATAAAGGAAACTTCAAAGTAGATTACCTGTTCTCGGCTTACATAAAACACCAAATAATTTGCGACGTAATCCCCTCTAATCCGTTGAATTGTTTGACACAATTTTACCCTTTCTGCGTTAAGAACCAACCACTTTCTTTGTGAGTAAATATACTTTGTTACCGAGCGTCCCACAGAGACTCATCTTCCATTGAATTTTAGATCCTATTCAAAGCGACTTCTCCTCAGGGGAGACTAATCCATTCATCAAAGAAATATTTGGTGAACTTACTCAATTCTGAAATGCTTTTTTTGTAAATTTACAAAAACGCCTGACGGGTGCCAAGAATTGACTGGCATGTTTTAGTGTTTTCATTGGATCTTTTGAAAGCGGCGAGTATAAATAGATTTTTGCAGGATACCGCCTAGGTTAAAAAAAAGAGATCAATTTCTAGACGTGTGGTAACGTTGCAAGGTGATTATCGAAGCACTGTCATTAAATGACACAAATGTGTCATGCCCGTGATTCACTGATATTGAGGGGAAAAGTACACCATCTTTTTTAAAGGAACTGAAAATCGTGTTTACACAACATTCCAGCGCTGTTTGAACATGCCTTAGATTTGGCCTTATTCCCCAAAATCGCGTTTATTGAAATCGATTAAAATTAATCTCTTTAGCTTCAAGGTGAAAAAGAGAGGAGAAATATATAACTTAACGGCAACATTCTTTTAACCTAAAACAATGGAGAGTTCAAGATAGCATCCATGTTGATCACTCTACAGAAGAAAAACCTGCAAGTTAAAACGACTCACATGAAAGGTGCATAAAGTATGCAGTTCAAGTCGTGGGGAAAAAATATGGCAAAAAAATTCGACAGCGTGAACAACCACGTTGTCATGGTAACGTTTTCAAGGACGTTGGTTGGAGCCTGGTACCGAACTGATCCCTCGCGCAAAATAAATTGGGTGGAGAAAGATTTACTTTTTAAAAAGTGTGACGTGATCCGAGATATTAGTTAGATGAAACAGGATAAAAAAAACTTGCGTTAGAAAAGCATTAAACCTTCGCCTGTCAGTTGCCGGCGCTTGCGCTCATCTCCGCTAACCAAGAAGTTGGAAAAGACTATGGCTAGTTCTTTCTTTAAAAAAAAAATAAAACAAAAAAAAAGCACAACATTCGGGATGTCTGAGTTAAGTCTACGGTAACTCACTCGGTTGAACGGTTTATGCATTGTGCATCGCATACCTTTCACTAGGGAAGAAGGAGCAACCACAGGGTCGTTTCGCTGAACAATGGTATGCAACTCAATCTTTAATTTCATGTTTAATGACATAAGACCCAGAGATGTTGTTTATGTATTCCACTTCATTGCTATGAAGCAAGTTCCCAGCTGCATCCCAGCTATATTTGTACGCTGTGTTACTGTCGCTCCCACTACAAACAATCGCCACAACAACAACAACATAGTTTTCATCATCATCAGCGTCATCAACTATAACGACATCGACATTATAAATGGTCAAAGGAGATTCGAATTAAAATAATCATCCTTTTTGGCCTTTTTACGCGTACGCGTACTGTATCGCAAATAAAGTAAAAGTGATAGCCACTTACGGATTATATCATGATAGTGGATTTTCGTAAACCTTGCCCTGTTTTTATTCAAGCAATGTGAGAGTATCTTACTCGCACTATCAGTGCACTTAATTAGGTTTGATTGGATTTCATATCTTTTATGTTGGTCTCACAATGATCGTGTAAAACTTTATCCAATTGCTATGGAAGGAATTTTCTACTCCATACTAATATTGTGTAGAATCTCATTGTTGTTGCTACGCAAACAAAAAATTTATGACCGCTTATGTCTCCGCTGGGCTAAAAAGACAATTCCCGTCACGGAAGGAATCATGTAGTCTCCGACAGGACACTGGGCTCGATTACCAACCGCTGTTTGAGAAAAGCTCAAAGTTCTCCTCGAACCGATATTATGGCAATGAACAGCAATTAACTCTCATAATTAGGTCAATTCACCAAACTAATTCTCTGAACAAAGGAGGTAATTTTTTATAGAAACTGTGGTGCTGCATCAGTGGGGCGGGGAGGAGGAGGGCATAACAAGTTCATTTGGTTTTATCAACTGAGTTGAAAGTGTAAATTGGCCACCAGAAAGAGTTTCAAAGCTGACGTTTCGAGCATCAGCTCTTCGACAGAGCAAAACTGAAGGTTTGAGATGGGAAGCAGCGGGCTTTCAGCTGCGGGAATTCACATGGAAAATTTGAGGCTGAATCAACTGACAAAAACAAAAGAAAGGAAATACTGAGTGGAAATTAAATAGAGACATGTTGAAATTCGAATGACTCATGTACGTTATAACAGAGGTGCGCTCTGGTAACAGCGTTTGTGTAATGAATCAGCACCGCTGGTTTTTCGAATGATTCAACTTCAAGTTTTGATAATTTCAAGAAATATAAACAACGTTGTAACGTTAGATTTGGGGGCCATTCAAGAAATAGTCGTAAAAGAAGACGTCTACTAAACTACATGAAAATGCAATCTTACCTCGTCGTATCATCGAAAGAGTACGCGTCGTTTCACCATAATATCAGCGGCCGTAATTTAAATCCCATTTAAAGCGAAATCGCATTTGTTATTCTGAGTCAAACTTCCAGTCCTCTAGGAGATTTTGTACGTTTTCTTTAAATATCTGAGGAAGCGAGTAATGTGAGGTCGTCTCCGACTCTAAGAACAATTGGAGGTCGCTCAGTTTCCAGAAAGTCAACAAGCTGTTGTTGAAAAAGCCAATCAAAATTCCCAGTTGGAATCCAGCCAGGAGTGGCGTGGCAAGATTAAGCGGTACAGACTGGTTGTAACATCGGACAGTGAAGAAGATATTTTGTCTTTTAGAGGTCTGCTGTTGAGTAATATTTTATTTTCGGGATATTTTAACAGCAAAGAAAACAAAGTTCAGAGAATAATTGCACCCAACGAGATCGTCTCTGCGGATTCTGTACGTTTTTCTTGGGAAGATCTATCAACGTAAGACAGAAAGGTGTGGTTAGGGTGGCTTTTAATCTCAGCAGGAGTGTAGATCTATATGAAACCCAGACGTAATTTTTTTTTTGACTCTAACAAGGCCTGAGGTGGCTATTTCTTCTGACGACTTCTTTCCCCGTTTTTTCTTGATCCACATCTTAATAAACCAGGCTTATCTTATTTAGCATGCAATATTTCTTGATTTTGAAGGGAAGAAAAAACCCAAGTAATTCTAAATATCAGTTTCATAACAGAGTTTATTTACTTTAAACTCAGGAAAGAGACAAGGTATTTTTATTTCAAACTTAGCCACTGAAAACAGTAGAGTTTTGCTCTGGTCAGAGGGTTATAACCATGATCAAAAAGTTGCAGTAAATAAACAGGAACAAAAAATCAAATGCCGGAAGTGAATGGAAAATGAAGAGGGTGATCGCTGACAAGCCGATGAAAGCAGCTTTGTAGGCTCGCTTCCTCCTGGTACAAGTGCGGAGCATCTCTTCTGCCAACTCGGTTGTCCAGTCTTTTGTAGGACTCGAATTATCTTTAACTTTTTCGAGTTTCTTGGGTTCACTAGTTTCGACGATGTGGGAGTGCTGTAGAGGAAAGTCTGTTGAGAGAGAGGAGGGAAAGATTTAGAAACTGAAAAACAGGCTCTATTTTACATTTTCAGGCAACATTGTTAACCCTGAATGGCAGTTGTCGTATTGCAAAGCGCAATTTAGGTAGCATGCTGAGCTAATAGAAGTGGTGAGGGGGAAGGGGGAAGGGGGGGGAAGGGGGAAGGGGAGAGAGCTTTGACCCTAAATCCCAATACCTGGTTACCAAAAAACAAAAAGAAAACAATGCTTTTCATTTGTATCATGAATATAACACAATCAACATAAGCAACTGAGGAGATATTTACTCCTCACTAACCTTCCTCAGCATCAATGTAGTCCTCATCCTCAGGCTCAACAACATCATCCACAGGATAAGTAGCTCGGTTTGTAACTAGAGCTTCACCTTTCTTTCCTATAAAATAAAATGATACAACAAGAAAATCTCAATTCAGATTTGTAGAATGCGTTTTGGTATTTGCCAAAAGCTTAATACAACTACAAATCATAGCCAATAAAATATCAAAAGAGCCACCCGTGAGAGACGCCAAACGCGGCAAAACACGCGCGATTCAATTAAAGGCAACTGCTTCCAAAGCCAATCACACACATTTTCACAGCATGAAATTATAAATTTACGAATCCGTAAAGATGCCGTAAAGTAAGCGTTAAGATCCTCTTTACGCGTCTTTACGAACTTCTTTACACTTTCGCAAAGAATGTCTTTACGCATTGAAAACGGTAGTACGTAAAGATCACGGAGAGAGACTAAAAACGCCATCTTTACGTGCCTTGTAAAAAGTCATATAGAGAATATTTACGATATTTTATGACGACTGTATTACTATTACTACTGTTAAGGACGCGTAAAGTGTTAAAAGCGAAACTGGTCAAAATACCACGGTAATTCTACGGAAGATGGATGAGCTATAATCATTTCACTTCTTTGAGTATTTCTCCACATAGAAAGTGCTTAATTATAGCGGAGCTCTTAGAGCGTAGCCTCATAATTATACAAAATTGTAGTAACCCATCGAGCCGAAAAAATTTGGATGTACCACCGTACGACCGTACAAGGTGCCACTTTT